CTTTTTCTTCTTGAATTCATTCAAGTGCCATTACGTGATAATCACTTCCCGCAATGTCTAGACACACTGAAATAAACATACCCAAATAAAACCAAATATTTCTATTCAAAACCTTTTTCATTTGAATTATTGGTATTATAATATAATATAATACGATTACATGGAGGGTAGGCCTACGCTATAACTTCATTCTCATTCAAGAATTCCACTACTCTGCTGATGACGAGGAAAGCACAGGATTGCTCCTTTTGAGGTTTTGCAGTGCTGATGAAGGGATACACTCGTGTGGGAATCTATTCAACAGGCCTGGATTCATCCAGACCATGGGACTTTTGATTTAAAGAGAAACGTTAACACTAAACATGCCTATGAAAAATGAAAATGTCGCGTGAAATAAGGCCGCTGTCGGCTAAACCTACTTTATGCTAGCCTATGTATGATGTATAATACCGGTACCAAATATGGAAAACACTGCAAATTGTTTTTTTGTGAATTGGCCAATTTTTGCTCTTTTTAAAAATGTACAATAGTAAATTCTTCATCCCTCTATTCTGATGGATTCATACTTACCTTTCTATTCTTTTTATATCGTCCTCTTTGTCGTACAGTACAGTATTTCGTTTGTGTGTTGTTCTTTTTAAAAATGTATAATGTAGTAAATTCCCCATCTCTCTATTCTGATGGGTTCAAACTTAACTTTCTATTCTTTTATATCACCCGTTTTGTCACACAGTATCCCATTTGTGTGTTGTTTTTTTTTAATTCTACATCCTCTATTGAATTTATTTATTATACCTAAAATTGGCATCAATCTATTGTATTTGCAAATTTCAATTTATCTAGAATGAGAATGCAAATATAAATAGATCTTAAGACTTTATGATTGTTCTGTGGTTTGTTGGATAATGCTCACGTCATCAGTTACCAACCTTTTGTTATATTCTGTACTAAAATAGTAAAAAAGTCCCAGGTCTGTGGTGATACTTAATCTCTTTTGTATTTTGTGCTAACAGTGTTTTTCTAAAAAGCAATTTGATTGGTTGAAACTTATCAGTTTACTTAGGCTAATTTAAATATGAACACGGTGTGACATGAATAGTATGAAGAACAATTAGTAAATAGAACTGTGATAATTTACACTTGACTATAAATACAAGTGCTATCATCATGTTTGCACTTGCTCTAGGTGACATCACAGATTGCAGTCATTCAAATTGGAGTCGCTCTCTTGAACTCTTATAGACTTACTACAGTCAGGTACAAAGGTATGAAAATATTTTTATTTTCATTTTCATTTTCTTTCTGATGGATGCAAATGTTTTTAAACTTTTGAGGTAATGTAAAGACTAATTGCCTATTTTAACAAATTATTCTGTATTTTAATCTATTTCAAATCCCTATTTTAGTAGGCCTACTTTAGATTTTAAGCCCCTGTTTTAGGTACTTTGTATATTAAAGAGATTAAGCATTAGTTTAGTGTTATTCCAACCCAGCTGTGTTGTAATGTAAGCCATGTTTAGAAGGAAACAAATTGCTTTCTGTTTCTGTCAGTACTACCTTAGAACTTGAGTTACTAATGTACAAACTTTTTTTTACTACTTCTGCATAAGTGAAATATCCCAGGTTCTACTCCTAGTACAAAATAATTGGCATGGGCAAGTTAATCACAGAAATTTTTGCACATAACTAGATTTTTGTGATCCATAAAAATCTTTTAATATTTAAGATGGATTAAATTCTTGTTGAGTAGGAACTAAAGACTTTGTTTTTAGAATTAGAATAGAATACAGTAATTCTTTATTTGTCCTCATTCAAATTGGAAATCAGAAATATGGGCCGGGCCTCTGGGAAGCCGCAGTTTAGTGCCACCCGACTTAGATACAGCATGTAATATGACGGATACATAGATAGTACTTAGCCTTCTGCCCTCTTAATATGAGGATTATTCAAGGAGACAAGCGATCAGACTAAAACCTGACAATATGCCGGGTTTGAACAGCACGAGAAGGAGGAACAATACCTCTAGGCCAACCCCTCAGCTCCCAACCGCTCAGCGCAAAATGTACAAGCCTAACACTCGAGACTTTTTAATACAGAGAAGTGTAGAGGACAGTGAAAAATGTACCAGTCACTGGGGACATGTTAGTTATTTGCATTATTTTTTTCTTTAGAAACGATTACGTTGTGTATATATTTACACTTTCTTCTGTGGCTCCTTTCAATTGACTTAAAAGAAAGGGTTGTCGATCATACAAACTCTATACTTGTAAAGTTTAGTTTGTGTTTGGAAGATGAACAATACTGGTAAAGTCCACATAGTGATTCACTGTTGTTATCAGTGCTCCAGAGAGCTTTTATAACTTTGTACACATATCCCATATCAAACTTTGTTTGTTGATCAGATGTCACCTACGTACTGAAGAAAACGCTGGGAGAAAAGTATATTTTAATGATAATATTGTCATCTTTATGCTTCACATCTATCTTAAAAACTGCTTGCGGCTCCAGATTTGATTTTTTTTTTCTCACACCCAGTTACAATCGGCTGCATTCCTTACTTCAGAATATTGGAAGTACCACATCCAATTGGTTTCACTAGTTCCAGGATGTTATACTTATACACTTGCTCTGGATTTAAATTTTAAATTGTGAATACAAAACATGTGAATATTAAAGCTATAATATGCTAATGCTATAATATTTTTAAATAATATTTTTTATTATTTAATTCACCCTCTGTACTGTATTTAATTTGTTTGTGTGAATATGTAATTATAATTCAATTACAGATTATGTGAATATTATAATAGTATAAATACTGTACATATGAATATAATACTGTATGAATGTAGTAGTATATAAATAAATGTGAATAAGTGTGTATGTCGGGCACATCCGGTTATAAGATAAGCATTGTAGCACAAAATGTGTTCGTAATTACTGATACTGTAGATAAGATACTGCTATACTAAATTATATCATAATCAATCGGTACTTATAAAAAAGAATTTTTATGTGTGTGTGTGTGTGTGTGAATAAATTGAATGTTAATATTGAAGATTACTGTAAATTATAATTTAATGGCTTGAATCATCTCTCTTCCGATTAGGTTAAACTTGTGTGGCAGTCATATTTTTAAAGTTTGCGAGTTTGATTCCAACTCTGGCAAATCATAATTACTTGCGTCCCTGGGTGTAAGTGGGTACCCTGGTAAGCTTGAATGCCAAACCATTCTACTTTTAAATGTTATGGAATACTCCCTATGGTCTTGAGTAGGTGATTCGTTGATATTCCATTCAATTACCTTGGTGATATGTGAAGTGCATCTAGTTAGTAGACAATATGAATCCACTATACTTCTAACTAGCATTATTTTACACTTTGTATTGGAAGCAAAGTTACTAGAAACACAAGATAGATTAGAACTCTCCACAGAAAAGAATCTGTTATCACCGAATTGCATTGTTGGTAAACTGTACTTACGTAAGTTTGTTTATTCCCAGTTGTGCATGGCGCTCCATTGAAGGAGGCACTGTGTACGTCTGGATCTGGTCTGGATATAAACTGCCATTAAACAGAAGGGCACTGCATACGTCTGCATATGTTGTGTTTCTAGTATCGTTGATTGGAATGGCACATCCCATCAATCTGAATTTTCTTCTGCTCTTGTTATTAATAAACAATTTTTTGTATAATAACCAATACAAGAGTACTCTACTAAACAATAAAAAAATCAGAACCATTACAAAGTTGCTTTGAATGTGTTATGAATTTGAGTTATCAATTTATTGTTTCATCAAAACAAATATGGCATACATATGTAAGGCCTATGGATGGTTTTTATTATTGTTTGAAATGATAGATTATGTTTTATATATTTATTTATTTTGATGATATCAGTAATCAGTATTTATATCACCAAATTATGAGTGGCATTGGCACTGTCATCTTTATGTTAACTTAGACACCAGTATACAACATAATAATAAATAAATTAAACCTTTTAGAGTTGAATCAGTGCATCATCAAAAAACTTGCACCAACTTGACAACATTGAAAAAAAAAAAGGCTACTAAAAATCATTTGGGTTTTTCATCCCTTATTTTCCGTTTATGATACCATCACACTTTATGACTTCTAGTATTGTGTGCATAATTATCTTTTCATACACTCAATTATGGTTCTCTTTGTAAAAATTTTACATTTTTATTGTAAGCAGTCTGCGTGTAGCTGCAGTGAAACACTTGATTAGCCTCACAGAACTCATTTATTTTTTACAAAACAACTTTAATAGTTGGGCTTTTGTTCATATACCTCATATTATTTGAAAAAAATTCTTCAGTGCAATGCCTATAGTAGTGTTTTGAAATTGGATTTTTAGATAGAATGAAAATAGACAAAAAAAAATTCATACAGGATGTCCTAGTGTGTCACTAGGGAAAGTATATCAAACCTAAACTTTCACAATTATTTTATCTGTCATGTACCTGTTCTTTCCCAGCCTAATGAACCATGGTGATCACCGAAGCTAATAATAATAATAATGCCAAGTCCTGGCAAAGAAAACTAAAAGGATCACCATCCTATTGTGGCGTTCATAGGTGTGTTAAAGTCCCTTAATCTGGGTAACGACTACAAACTAAATGCTATAGCATCTACAATTTTTTTTCTTCCCTAAACTATGAACAAGTAGTACAGTGTTATCCACTTAAAAGAGTTCAGTGACCTTATTTGAGTTGGGACTTTGATATTGAGATTTAAAAAAGTAACTATTGGACTCTAATACTGATCTATCGTGAGAACTTTGATTAAAGTTTGTGTCTGCTCTATAATCTTTATTAGTGTTTTTATATAAATGGCATGTAGTCAAGCAGGAGAGAGTGCATTCTCTACAGTTGTTTCAGCTGTTGTTTAATTAACATTTTTCAATAATTGAAGTTCTATCAAACATGACTCAACATTTTTTATAATAAATTATCTATTTTAATATTGCTTCTCAGGTACTGAAGACATGGTCTATTGATGATGCCTGAATTTTGGATGATAAAATAAATCTAATGCACCAAGACAGCCAGTTAGAATGCCGACTGGAGAAAGGAAAAAGTCTTCTGAAAGTGCCAAGTAAGCTTTCATTCATTATCTGTAATGTTTTGGTTTATCCATCACAAACTACAAAGTCTTGTACCTGATTCACACAACAAAAATGTCCTAAATATTAGCAAATTTTACCGAGGATATTTCTGTTGAGGGAATGCATGCTTGGATAAATAACGACCTTTCACTTTGGTATCACATGTATCTTCACTATCTGAGCTATCCTACAGATATCCCTGTTACTACATACTCCTACCAAACTTTTGGGGGGGGGGGGGGGTTCACAGCTTGAGGTCAAAGGTCACAGGGGTCATCTTGGTGTCAAATCCTGAAAAATGACTGAGTTCATGTTCTATTGAACATTGTATCTTTAGTTTGTTTTTATGTATTATTTATTGAAAATTATGTGTCCTTATTAAGCTTGTCAACAAAACAATTTTCCTTTTTTGCACAAATAAAGTTTCTCTATTCTGTATTGAGATGCATGGAATTGAATTTTATTTGAAAATGCAACCATAAACTTATTAGATTGTGGTAGAAACTCTGTTTTCAAATTGTTTAATATTTGTGTGATTGAATGATTACGACCTTGCGTTGGAATAATAGCAGAAATACCATTGATGTTTTTACGCTGCATTGAAGCAATTTTGATTACAGATAGCACATTATCTCTGCAGTTATTGTACATAAAAGTTTCGCCAACCCTGACTTTAACCTTCGTAATATACAAAGTGTATACACATAAACTTAATATGTTACATTTTGAAGTGCATGTTAATGAGAGGAAATATTGAAATGTTGGACCGGTATCATGATTTTTTTGTTATTTGTATATTAAATTATCTGATGGGCCAAGGACATTTAATATACTTATTTTGATGTGAAGGTGTTAGTTTTGTGTTTGTATAAACCTCCTGCTTGAAAAAGAGAACATTAATCTAAGTATTGGAATGTTAACACCTGTCAGTTATTCAATATATTTATGTTCAATTGTGTTTAGAAAGGAGGTTGAGTTTTAGTTTGGATGCTACCCTAAAAATAGATAGTTTATGATAGCATGAGGATAAGATTGTAATCCACTAAAAAAATATTTAAAAGCAAAAAAAAAAAAAACAACATACATATGAAACAAAAACATATCAGGAATGCTGATTCACTCAACAAATTCAAGAAACTCCTTAAAACCCACCTTTTCGATTTGCACTTTCACAATTAAACTGTTCAGCTTGAATTTTTCTTATTTTTATTTATTAAAGTCTTCTCAATGTTTTGTTGATTGTTGTTAAGCACTTAGAGGCATCCAGTATTCTGTGCTATATCAAATTTAACTTTATTATTATTTTATTTGCATGCTGGTGAAAGACAGCTTATTACAAGAAGAAATTAAAGGCATTCTTGTTACTCCTACCTATAAAAGAAAAGTGACAAGTGATTGCAGAAAAGATAATAATTGTGAATAAGTTTCCACATGGTATTATGAGTTAGCTCTGTTATTAATTTATTTTTAATTCTAAATTATTTGTGAATTTACCAGGTACATGCAATCATCCATCCACCTGTAACTTGTAAGACCTTCTGTTGTGCTCTAAACTGGATAATCAATAATTATAATTAATTTGCAGGATGTGCTAAACACCCTACTGACAATACAGTAGCTTCATTTTTTAGCATCATCTGCATGTTAATTTTCTTATTCCTGAATAGACATCTTGTGATTGGTCAACTGTATTGTCTAATAGGCTTACATCAAAATTGTCCAATTATTTGTTTGTATTTAAAAAAATATATATATATATAATGAATGCCATACCACAGTAGGCAGTTTGTGGTCAGTTGTACTGAATACACCGAAAACTGCTAAATGTGAAAAATATTTATACAATGTTTATTTTTCAAATATTGTACAGTCTTATCCAATCTTACACAATCATCTATTTTTCCAAAAATGTTCTACGATAGGCCTATTCCAGCCTTTTTTGGACATTAAAAAAATATTTTTCAATGTCAAAAAAAAAACTAAAAACTAAAATGCTGACTCTCAATTTCAAACATTTTTGGGTCGGTTGGGCGTGACCAACACAATAATTTTTTTCATTTGGCCTAAAGGGGAAACTTTAGTTTTGTTTTTTCTGTATTGTGGTTTTAGTATACATCGATGTCTCCTCATTGGCTTTTGTTTAAGTACCCACAGGGTGAAGAATTTTTTTAAAAGTACAGTACGGTATTGAGCTTCGTTTATTCAATATTTTTGAACATGTTTTTTATTCCACTTTGACAGAGATCAAAACAATTTTAGATTTCACTGATTTAGAGTCATTAAAGATATTGCCTGCTAAAAAAATTGGGGAAAACATCAAAACTTCAATGATAATATTGAATAGCTCATTCAAAAGATCAAAAGTTATTAGCTTCCAACCAGAAATAGGTAGAAATTTTTTTAATTTTTACTATAAAAAATTCCTCGAATTGATCACCCAGCCAACTTTAGAATAGAAGAAAGGTTGAATTTACATGTTTACACTGACGGGAAATTTTTTTCATTCTCATTTAGATTTTCAATTGTATTCAAATATAAATTTTTTTTTTAAGCTCATGACAGACAGTACTGTATGGTTGTATTTGAGATCATTCGTTGGCAGAATACATGATATTGTTATGGCTTCAAATAATGTCTTGCCAGGTACATTGAGAAGCACATAAGACAGTTAAAATAGATAATTTAAAAAAAATACCATCATAAAAAAAGAACTCAAAGAACAATTGAATTATAACTGTGCACAACCTTGTGGCAATTGATATAATCGTCCATAAAAGATCTCTGTTGGTAATTTAGTAGGTCAGGTTTCACAATTTGTGTTTTATGAGCAAAAAAGACATTCATTCACATACTACCAAGGTACTGGCCCTATTTTCTGCAAAATTAACATGATTTTTCTCATGCTGGTTTTTCTTTATTATGTGGCACATTTGATGCTCGTTTTTCTATGCAGTAAATATTATCAAAACAATCTGGTTAATTTCAGATTTAGTTTAAATAAATTTATTGTAAACTTCCAAAATTTAGTATTCAATTGCTATTGCTATTACCAGGACCTCAGGGAAGAACAGTGTACAGTAGCAATGCTGACTGAGTATCCAGAATAAAGATAGATTTCTATCTATCTATCTATTGCTAGTTACAGTTCCTGCAAGTTCCGTTAAACGTATCTTCTGTCTTGTTGTGTACATGCTAGAGAAATTCAGTCATGTAATTTACATTTATATCTTCCAGCTTAATCCTCTCTGATATTTATGAGTATTCCATTACAGTATGTCTACAGCTGAATGCTTTATTAAAATATTCATGAAGCGGTCCACCATAATGAAATCGGAACTTTCTGTTCCTAAACTGAAATGTCATCTCTAAGTGATTGGTTTTTCCGTGATTATAATTCTGTAGCTCATAGAGTAGCAGTTTTCACAGTTGATGAGAACCTTTGGTATAAAGGCCAACTCAGCGTTTTGTAACTCAGACCGCATTTTACAACGCAGTCCAGCGCAATTGGTTGCTGGGGACAGTCACGAGAATGTTAAACTCTAATCAATTAGTTTAACCGAGTGGCTTGTGCCCAGTACAACTGACCAGCTTAGTTTTAACGAGCCGAAAAGTCCAAAGCGAATACACGTCCCAGTTAAACTGGATTAAGTCACAAATTAGTTGATTTTCATGGCTCGGTTAGTTTTACCATTTCTCGCAGTATAACTAACCAACTCAAAAAATCCAAGTGCGGACAGCGGTAAGATTTACCCATTGGAATGTTATCAAGTTCTCTGTAGAATATTCCCTTTTGTAAATTCAGTGTGAATTTGTGTTAACACTAGTGTGCTGATTACAACTTATATCAAATTCTTCCTTGGAGAATTATAAAATTTTAAGTTCATTTGTGCAAGAAGCAACCATACAAAGAACTTCTTGATGTATGATTTTACCATTGTAGAACAAAGATTTTGTTAATATTATTGGGATTATTATTATTAAGCAATCAAATGTTATTTATGATTGCCTAATAATAATAATCAAGTATCCTGTTCAGAGGGTTGAGTGGCAATATGTAGTAATATCTAATGCTTCTGGTTATTGTGGTTACCTGCCTAATTATGTACGGTACATATTAAAGGGCATTGAACCTAATTGTAGATAGGGTTTTGTGTCATGAATGCTCTTTGACCTCAAAAATTATGGAAATAGGTAATACCATTATTAGCTTTTTTTTGTTTTCAATGTAAAGGATTTTGTGGCTCACTTCAAAGCTTGTCACGACTAGTGTAATATTTTGCTTAAGGCTTTCAATGTGCTGTCTGTTTGTCAGTCAATATCAAGCCAAGTGTAGTGACTTGGCAGTTCAAAACTGGTGATAAGTTGTACAACCTCATAGAGATTTTAGGAATAGAAATTTTGTCTATAGTTGAAAAAAATATTTGTGGTAAAATTTACGTCTTGAAATATCGGTACTATAATTAAAACCATTGTCCTGAATTGCGTATGGGCGTGGTCCGTGACTACCTAGCCGCTGTAAAGAGGCACTTATAGTAGCTACACGTTAACGTCAATCATCAGCGGCTGAAATGAATCATAGGATCGTGGTAACCTCTACTCTCCTGAAAGACACAATGGGTCCTTGAAAGTACAAACGAGGCAGATGTGTAGTAACACTGGACCTCAAGTTGTTATCCGAGAACACTTGGTTTTGGTTCTACCAACCAAACCCCTGGACGAGAAGCAGCTCGAACCACGCCAATGTTAAGGCTGTAGTTAGCGTTGCCCCACCTTACCGCTACCACTTGACTAGCCCGATTATGTGACATAACACAGGTTTTGGTTGTTTTTTTTTTTTAAGTTTATAATGTTTAACTGAATCATGAGTACAAGTAATTTAGCTATGAGGCTACGAGTTGTATGAAGTTTCAATAAAAATATTTAAAAAAACAAAAAAATCATAGAGACTGATATATAATAGATCCTAATAAAATTATTTGTTATTGGTGTACAACAAAAATTGCTGAATAGTTGAATAGATGTTGAAAAGCTGATTATTTCGTATTTCCACTTAGCTATAGACTAAAGTTCATCATCATGTAACCAATAAAAACCACTCCAAAATTCCTTCACTGTAGTCTTTCTATTTGGCAATCTGATTGGTCAGATTTGGAATTACAGCAACTGAACCTAAACTGAGCATGCTCAGTATAATTTCAGAGTAGCCTTGCTCTCATTTTTAATAATATTAGGCCTACTGATTTTTGTGAGTTTTATTTTAAATTATGAATTATTTATATATATAATTGTATTAAGTTACTGTTCTGACTGTGTCAGTTAAAATAGCAAATTATTATTTTTAATGATGAAATCTTAAGCAAAGGTTATATCAAGTTTTGGGAAACACTCAAATAAACCTAGGCAGGCTAGTCAATTCTAATGAGTTTTTATCACTAACAAAGTTTCAGTGTTCATATTTTAAATTATGAAAGATTTTAATGAAAGTTATATTTTTTGCATATGTGCCCAGTTTTAAAATTATAATATGTCTATAATTCCAGTGCTACTGTAGTAAATTATTTATTTTTGTGGAATGCCATTTAAATTTTAGAGGTTTTCCCCAATTTTTTAGCAGACAGTGCACCTTAAAAATTTTAGTCATGGAAGTGTGCTTTCAGGCTTTGTTCTATCAATTCACTGACTGTGATTCAGTTCTCACGGTTTTAAACTTTGGGCATTTAGTATAAGAACTTGACAATATGATTTTAATTTCAAACTGACATATAAATTAGTACCACACAAAATGGATAAGAATTATATTTTTTATGAGATTATCAGATTTTCAGATAATAAAGAAACCCTGCAATAGAGTACAATATACAGTATTTCCCAACATTGGTTTCCTTAGATCCTTAAGGTCTGTTGAACTTGGCACCCAAAAATAGAATTGAAAAGAAATATTATTACCAATGTCATGCGGATATGAAGCCAAACAGAAACAAATGGTAAACTTTATACAGGGGACGAAAAATTAGGTCAGACTAAATACATTTTAATACTTTAATCATGGATTTTAGCCAACCAAAATGTGTGGGGTGAGTGATGGTGATATGACGTTTCATGACGAGGCTTATGACGAGGAGTTTTGTCATGAGAGCCGTGGTATTAGAAGGTGGGTATCTTAACCATCAAACTACAGTATTTAACTCCAATCAGGTGCTTATATCTGAGTGTAACATTTGGCAAAGACAAATGATGATATTAAACTTCAATATGTTTTAGGAGGAGATTCAGTTTTTATTTGTGATGAATCTACCTCTATTTTTGATAATTTCTGTAAAAAATACATCATAATTGCTTGGGAGAAACGCTCACAACTAAAAAATTCACAACAATAGTTTACTGTAAATGTATCGTTGCTTATCAAATTGTGTAATGTTAATTTTTTTTTTTTTTTTATCAACAAGTGGACTCTACATCGTAGTCTGTATTCCTTAAGTACTGTATAGTAGGTCTACCATTGGTATTATCTTTTTGTTGTAAGACTTTTTCATCTTTGGATTTTATATTTTGTAGGTTAGTTATTTTATGCATTTACTTTACAGTTGACCTGTAAAGTATTTCTGAGTATGAAATGCGATGTGAAATGTGATCTCATTTAATTTCATATTTTCTACCTTTCTTTAATTTTGTAATATTATATACAGTCGATTGTTATTTATTTTGATTTTTAAATTTTACCCTTTTTTTTGTTTTTGTTTGTACGAACGAACCAATTGATATTGAGTGCCACCGATTCAAAGGTGTATGTTCAAATAAATAAATATAAATAAACTTATCCAGACAATATGGACTTGTATACTGTACAGTATACCCTAAAATGGGACATGGTATCTAACAAATGGCTGATTGTATACCCTGCTTTAACAACTTTTGATGTTTAAAACTGAATCATTTTTTTTTTTCTAGGGAGGATTTGAATCGTCTTTTGAAACTTCTTATCACACATCCAAGCAAGCAACAGGTGGGTATATCACAGTTAGTGCCAATACAATCTCAATTATACGCAACCATACTATCAATTTCCAAATCTAAATTAGTAAAACTTATTAACCATGTCCCCAATTTAAATTTGCACCATACATTATAAAATATATGCTAAATGCAAGACATTGACGTTTATTTTTTTTCCCGCACAGCTACCTTCATTAAAACATGAAGGGAGTAACAACAATAACAACAACAGCCCTCCATCCAAATACAGTGGTATTCTTCAGCACCAGAACTCAGAGGCAATAGCATTAGAAGCTTTCAGGTGGGCCAATAAGTATTGTAAGATTATCGTAAAGAAAATTGTATAATTAAAGTAATATAGTGAAACTATAATAAGGCCTCCTACTGTATTAGAAGAAAGTTAGTTTTTTATGAGGTATTGTGATATCCAATAAAGTGGTTTTTCCAATCAATCATCCAGTTAATCAACTAAATCACTAGACCAATTAAGCAATCAATCAATCAATCATTCATTTTATTAATTTATAAATAATGATTTATTTAGCGTCTATTCATGTGATTCAAAGTGCTGGCCATTACAAAAAATAGAATTGCATTCAATATAACAGTAATCAAAAGTTGACATAATTTTCTACGCATTACTACACTTTATAATTTTTTGTAATAAATTGTATTCTTTTGTAATCTTATTTTATAGCTCAACCTACCAAAATGAAAGACAGTTCAGTACACATCCTCTCTCTAAGCAATTTGACCAGGTAAGTGCTGACTCTTTGGCATTGAGAATATAATCCTGACCCATGAAATTTATTTTTTAATTGCTAACTTTGTATTTTCCTAATTAATAAATAATTCTGTTACTATATGTGCCAAAGAAGGAACAAGGAACTATGTTCCCAACTCACTTAAATCCATTAAAATTAACGCAACTTTCAAGATAAAATTTAAAAGAATATTTAAGTAATGAACAACTAAAAACTTAACAAACCAGTGTTATGTTGCCATGTATCTTATTTTTGATTGAATTTGTTGTTGGCCTACTGTTTATGTGTTGTATTTATATATTTTGATACCTTTTCTGACTTTTTTTTCTGAATTTTACCTCTTTAATTTTAAACTACTCACTTTTCTGATTTTAATGATCTGGACCCCATTGGAAATAAGTCATTCTTGTTATGTGTTTGGAGGATAGTGGCTGTTGATAGCTGATGAAGTATTAGAAGTGAATTGAAGGACGCTTGCGTATATAATTTAGCGTCAAACAGATAAAAAAATAATACAGGGTTGCCATATAAAACATTTGAATACCAGGGTATTACAGTAAAATGTATTATTGTTAAATTAGGACAAATGCTCATTGTATCAATGTCTGCTCGTCAGGAGAGCCATATAATGCGAAATGAAACAAATCTCTTAAAAACTATAGTATGTCAATTCAATAAAATGAGACTGTACATAACTTGACAAATGTACTGTACCATGTTTTTAGAATCTGAATTCCAGGGTGAAATTACAACAATTGTGGTTAACAAAAAGTTCTATAAATAACATAGTATAAAGCTAATTGCCTAATTTTAGGTGTTATTCGTAGATTAAGATATTTTTTACCCAATTCTTCTCTTAGACTTTTAGCAAATTCTTTTGTATTACCTTTTTTCAATTATTGTAATACTGTATGGTCCAATTGCACAGCTGCGCACCTTAATTCACTCCAGGTCTTACTAAATAGACTAGCCAGAATTATTTTGCATGCTGATATTAGAACACCTGTTAATGACCTTATGTAATCTCTTAACTGGAAGGATGTAAACCAACAATGGGAACATAATATTCTTTTAATGACATTTAAATATAACTCCCGACTTTTCAATTTGACATTCAAATATTTACTGCCATGCCCCATGTTTAGAAAGATTTAGAAATTGCTTGAATGTTTTCTGTTTCCTGTTTTTTTTTTTTTTTTTGTATTTCTTCTGCTTGTAATTTATTTAAGCAAATGAAATTAAAAATATCTCATCTGAACTGAAGTCATGTTAGATACTGCTCATTGGCTCAGATAGACACAATTAGGTCAACGTTTAGTAGTATTAATGTGAGCGAAAATTCTGATTTTGCTCACGTAAAAAGTGTAGAAAAACGTGCTTCTGTTAGTGAATAAACCACTTTGAAATCCACTCAAGAAATTAGGTTGATTGTTGCTCTATCCCTGTCCACTTAATGTGCATCACGTGTGTATCGCTAATCATGCTGAAAGGAACGTGATTGATAAGTGCATTTGCATCGTGAACTTTTTAAGAGGATAGTGTCTTCTTGTTGAGGTTATACTCGATGCATGCATCTTGCTCTTTTTGTTATTGAAGAAGATGGTATTGCTTAGCTTGGGTCATCAACATAATATATTTGCCAAATTGTACAAACATTTTCTTATGTACATGTAGATGATAATTAACAGTAATAATTTGTACATATGTAAACAAAGCATGTATCAATACTTGCTCTTTATATTACAGATCTTTTCAGCTATTGTTAAAAACAGGCTCTGCTCAAGGTAAGTAAAAAAAATGATGATAATGATCATATTGAGAGTTAGTATGTTTGTAATAGTTTTAAGAATTGGATATTAGATTCTCATCAGGTGCAAGTATCTAGTATTTGGCAAATTTTGTAATACTCAATTTTCAGGTTTTGGTGTAATTCGACTATTTCAAAACTTACAATATCCCAAAGTAACAAATGTTAATATCAAGCTATATATCAACAGCTTTTAACCAGTGACTGTTGAAATTCAACTGAACATGCGAAATGTGACTAATTGCACTTTATTAAAATGGTATCGCTTTACAAATTGACCGTTGATTATCATAATACATTTAATTTAGTGTTAGGAATGCTAATTCAGTTCTACTTGTGTTTTAATTAACACACTGGAATTTAATTGGTAAAGTAGTAATCCTTACACAGTTACCTTAGTACTTTTGCTACGAGTTCAATTAATTTTTGCTTATCTAGGGTCCTGAGTAATAGCATGATCGCCAAGAGTTGCTAAGAAATCATTTAATCAAAGTTGGATTTTGCAATTCAGTGTATGGCTACGAACACACTAGAGTCTCAAGCCTGGCTTGACTCACCGCGGGTGAGATTTCAAGCCAGGCTCGAAATTCTGGGTTGGTTACACTTTACCTGAATGTAGTTCGATCGACCTCCAAATTAGGAAAGTGGAAACAGGAAGTTAGAGCGCTGCTACAATCAAAATACCGGCCCCGCGTGCTAATCTAGATGATCTAGGCCTAGGCTCAGATGTACGGTAATGGCGATGCTAGTTTTTGGATTGATAAGTGCATTTATAAATGACAACTGATGATTGCCGTGGGTTTTTTATTCAAGAACTTCTAAACGCAACAGTCATTGACTGTGATTGGTCGACAGCCGACGATGAAATGTGAATCCCGGTCACGCCGGGATCAATCCAGGGTCAATCTGGGTACTGAGCCGGGATCGAGATAGGTAGATTAAGATGAGGTCACCACAGGCGCAAGTCGATTCAGGTGCGGTCACATTACAAAAATCTCACCCGCGGTGAGTCAAGCCAGGCTTGAGACTCTAGTGTGACCGTAGTCAAAAACAATAAAACCTTGAATAGAACCTTGAGTTAATCTGGAGAAGAAGCCCATCTTAAATTGAAGCCCATAGGCTTCTTTTCAATATAGCTTTGCTTCTATTTGAGGTTTAATGGTATGTAGTGGGTTTTTGCCAAAGGATGCAAAACACATGCAAAGTTTCTTTGTATTGGTATTTATTTTTAGATCATTTCGCGTTCTTCCCTGAACCGCCAGGGTGAGTTTATTAAGTGCAAAGCAATTGTATGTTTGGACAGGTGTGGACGTGACCTTGCATCCTTGGTGCCCTGAACAAACGCTGTCAGAAGTGAACCCGCGTCCCAGTCAGTGTGATTTAAAGGAGGTTTCCAGTTGTGCTGCAAATTTCAGCACGCATTCCTACTATGTGGAAAACTATCCTTCCTACCTGGTACTTTTAACGATGAAGTGAAGCAAATGCTGTGCTCAAGGATGCGAAGAAGTGATTACAGTCTCTCTAACTCCCGACTTTTCAATTTGACATTCAAATATTTACTGCCATGCCCCATGTTTAGAAAGATTTAGAAATTGCTTGAATGTTTTCTGTTTCCTGTTTTTTTTTTTTTTTTTTTTTTTTTTCTGCTTCTGCTTGTAATTTATTTAAGCAAATGAAATTAAAAATATCTCATCTGAACTGAAGTCATGTTAGATACTGCTCATTGGCTCAGATAGACAATTAGGTCAGCGTTTAGTAATATTAATGTGAGCGAAAATTCTGATTTTGCTCACGTAAAAAGTGTAGAAAAACGTGCTTCTGTTAGTGAATCAACCACTTTGAAATCCACTCAAGAAATTAGGTTGATTGTTGCTCTATCCCTGTCCACTTAATGTGCATCACGTGTGTGTATCGCTAATCATGCTGAAAGGAACGTGATTGATAAGTGCATTTGCATCGTGAACTTTTTAAGAGGATAGTGTCTTCTTGTTGAGGTTATACTCGATGCATGCATCTTGCTCTTTTTGTTATTGAAGAAGATGGTATTGCTTAGCTTGGGTCATCAACATAATATATTTGCCAAATTGTACAAACATTTTCTTATGTACATGTAGATGATAATTAACAGTAATAATTTGTACATATGTAAACAAAGCATGTATCAATACTTGCTCTTTATATTACAGATCTTTTCAGCTATTGTTAAAAACAGGCTCTGCTCAAGGTAAGTAAAAAAAATGATGATAATGATCATATTGAGAGTTAGTATGTTTGTAATAGTTTTAAGAATTGTAATGATTATGATGATTATCATTGTTGTAATGATTGAGCATGATAATGATTAATAATCTGGTGAGCCGTACTAGTCTTAACAGTAATCAAACAATAAGAAAATGGTAGCACTTTATAGACTAGTTGAAAAATGTATTGTCACAAACTTTCGTGTACACAGTACACTTCTTCAGGTGACTAGAGATAAGATGCCTTTTAAGAAAATCTTAAAAGGCATCTTATCTCTAGTAAATTTTCTCAGTCTACCCCTATCAATGGTACTTTTCCTTGTCACAGCACTAAATGTGAGCTTTGCCATCTTATTCATTCTGAAAGTCACATACTTGGACCCAATGGCTATATCATCAACATCAAAGGACACTTCACTTGCTCATCCACTAACATCATCTATGCCATTATGTGCAATATATGCCCCAATGCTGTTTATATTGGTCAAACTGGCCAAACTCACAGAAATAGAATTAATGGTCACAAGTTTGACATTAGACATAAGTTAATTAAGAAACCTGTAGCTGAACATTTCACTTTCACAGGTCACACTCAATAATCTTAGAGTTTGCTGTAGTTAAGAAGGGTAATTTTAAGAACAATCTAGATAGGGAAATTTGTGAACAGAAAATAATTAAGCAACTTGACTGTGTTAAGAAAGTATAATACATACTCCAAGTATTGAAATACACGCCATCGTGTTGGGATTCAATATTTCGACATTAATTATGTCATCATCAGGAATCAACTGTGTTAACTTGGGTTTAAACAAAGACTATGGCTTTCTTGCCCACTACAGGGAATGATTTCATTGTTATGTTAATACCTCCATTGTTTTTATTACTTGCCTTTTGTTTTAGACCTTTTATATTCGATTGCAAGTTGCTCCTCTTATCATTCACCTGAAGAAGTGTACTGTGTACACGAAAGCTTGTGACAATACATTTTTCAACTAGTCTATAAAGTGCTACCATTTTCTTATTGTATGATTATGATTATAATGGTTAATTGTGATTGTATGATTCTGTTGATGATAATACTGTACTTTATGGTTGTGACTGTAATTAGATTAGAAAATGATAATTATGTGTGTAATGATTAGTTATTAATGGTGATTGTAATATAATAATTTTGATCATGATTATGTTGATGATGCTTGTAGTTATTTGATGATTTTAATAATTATGAAAACAATACACTTAGATTCGCTGAAAATGATCATTGTGTTATATAATTTATGTGAAATTGTGCGAATAATATCAGAAATGCCGTAAAGTGTCTAACTCTGGCATTGGTTATCAGGAGATGTAGTGAATTTCCATGTCATGCCTGTTTAGAAGAGCTAACAACAGCTCAGTCGCAATTCTCAAAAAACAGTGCTTCATTTTTGGTAGACTGATAATGAATGCACTTTTGAAATCTGGTTAAGCAGAAGTTATTTAATGTAGAGAATTTTGTTTTTCTTTGACAGTGAGTGGACTGCTAAGGCACCTGCAGGAAACAATCTATGTATGTTGATCTGCCTGCGACTTTTTCTACGAGATACAACCTACCAAGTAAGAATTTGTTGTATACCAGGTGTTCGTCATTAAATACAATCTGTTGGTGTGAACCATTCTTGTGTTATGTTTTCTACAAAACCCAGTCGGCTGACCGGGTCTAGGGTTGATTTGATACAGAATATTAAAATTATTTTGAATTTTGTTGCAGAATCAAATGTCATTGATTAGGATACTTTTCTTTCTTTTTTTGTAGAAACATATATTTAAACTTGATGGAGTAAAAACATTAGCTGAGGTAAGATTGGTAGCTCTTTTTTTACACGTTCTTTCATTGCTTTTACTTGAGGCCCACAAGTTCTTTGTGCTACCTTGCATATACTTTCTCAAACTATCTCATATTTTGCAAGCATCTAGCCCTATTTACCCATCCCTCCAAGCCTCTAGCCTTATTTATCTGGTTCCCAAACGTCCTAACAGGTATTGACCCACTCTCAAAATTCTCTCCTTTATTGACCTGTCCCTCTCTAAGCATCTAGCCATTATTGATTATCCTTTTAAGAAGTCTCTAACCCTTGTTGACCTGTTCCCTTCAAGCCTTTAAACACTATTGTTTGAATAAGTGTTGACACTATTTTATTAGTTCTCAGTACATGACAAAAGGGACAATTTTAAAGATATATCAATCAAAATATTAACATAAGCAAAGGCGGTTTTGATTTATATTTTCTGTGCTTTCCATTTTATGTATGTGTGACCTAACCTATGATTGTGTCACTGACTGATAGATAACTGATGAGAGATAACCTATAAATAACTTACTTATAGTAGATAGCTTATAGATAATATAATATTTATCTACATAAAAATATTTTACTTTGGAATGCTTACTGTGCATAATGATTTCCTAGTTAATAAACATTATCATGTACCTTTTCCAAGTATTGAAATACATGCCATCGTGTTGGGATTCAATATTTAATTAATGTCGAAATATTGAATACCTTTTCCTGTTCAAATTTTATTCATTAAATCACTACAAAATAATAAAAATGCTGATTTTTTTTTTTAAAACTCCTATTGTTATTTTCCATGTTGGTTGTTTTGCTTGCATCACCGATTACGCAGTTTACTCCTTCCCATTGAAATTTTTCTTTAAAAAATGAATAACGTAATTCTAATACAAATGAAGACTGCGGTTGTAATCATTGTAGTTATTGGCCTAAGGATTTAGATTTACATGTTTCAATGATACGCTCTCAGGAGATGTGGTTATTTGAGTATGCCCATTATTGGATGTTGATTCAGAGACTAGATGAATAATTTGGGTTAATTAATTGTTGAGTATGCTATTATTTGGTCACACTAATGAAAATTTGAATTAATATTCAGTAATTATTGAAAAGATATGATTGATATTAATACTCTAATTTTACCTACTATGAAGGTCACAGTAACTAAGATAGTACTCTATTAGGAAGATATGAAATAGAGTCAACATGAACTTGCAATAATGGGATGCTTCTTGAAAACTAAATATTTTGTGAATAAGCTAGACAAATATCCTACCTCATTTTTACAATTTGTGCAATGCAAACTGAGAGTTAAAAGCTACATTACGGAAACGGCATAAAAATTTTCCTTGAAAGGATAAACATTGATTTATACAAGGTGTTTTTGAAACACATTCTACATTTCAATAGTAATGAAAATTATTGACAACATAATATTTATTAAAATTTAATCAAATAAAGATAATGATGAAAATGAGGACAAGATACTAAGAATAATATATAGTGATTAGGAAAACTAATGATGGTTGATATTAATAGTGCTACTTAATTTATCAGTAAGTTTAGAATATATTTTTGTTAAAAGTATTTTTTGTTTGTGTGTGTTATCATTTAATAGAATTTTAAGAGGATTGTTGATTCTCTTATTATAGATGGATAGGATGCTGATATATTTAACGTAATCATATTTTGTGTATAAGCCATATCTTGTTCAGTGATGCATGAAAACTAAAACATTTTTACTTAAAAATAATGTATTTTGTCAACTCATGCTAACATGCCGTACTGGTCATTTGATGGAATAGCCAAACTAATAATGCTCAACGAAATCAGAAGTAACAATTGTGTCAATCTGTCACGTTAGTCGGAACATAAAATATCTGTCGTAATTGATCTATGCCGCTTTTACGACTCAACATTACATCTTCCCGACGGGTTATTCTCCAAAGATGAAATATATATTAACTAATTGTTACTTAGACATCGACTTCTGTTTGTAAGAACGAGAATTGAGTAAACTAGATCTTTAGTGACACTGAAAAGGAATTGCAGTTAAAATGGATGATAGCAAATGTAGATGAGTTGAAACTGCAGTGATTGTAATGCTCAATCATTTCTTATAATCTTTATTGTATCGATGACACACTTCGAAAGGAGAGTTCATGACCTGTGTATTGGGAGAATTATTCCGCAACAACTCAAAATTAATCCCAAATTCCCTTGTGATGGTAATTTATCCCCCTTGTGATAATAAACAAATCATCTTCAATAAATGGTTTGGGCCTAGTTCCAACTAGGTGGATAAACCCGGCTCAACTCACCGGGTTTATCCACCTGCCTGTCTGAACTACAGTAGGTGGCTTATCTCAAGCTGTGCTCCTATAGTAACTAGGCCTGGCATGCCACCGTGTTTAACTTTTCTAAGCCGGGCTTTAATCATTGCGGAGGGACCTTGTATTGACTAGGACCAATCTGCATTCAATTACGTAGGTTGTGAGCGAGCATACGTTTCGCGAGCAATTGAAATATGTATTTCTGGTCATGGTTCGTTATTATGCAAATGCTTGCGCCTACTGCCTAATCCCGCTAGTCTGAACGGCTGGCAAAGTTAAGCCGGGTCTAACGTTGAGCCGGGCTTAACTCAAGCCTGGCTTATATCCAAGTCTGAACGTAGCCTTTATCATATCTGGATTTAAAATACCACCGGTGAACCTTATGTGATTTAGGGATTATGCAGAGAAACTAACGGGAAATCCGCTTGATACCCCATATGTTAGACAATGCCCAGGAGATATCATCAGCGATGAGTTTGATAATGAATAGAACATTGTGTAATAAAGATACAGTATTAGGTTTCCTCTAGCAGGCAGATAGAATGTGGGGCTATTACATAGATTTATGGACACTATTATTGGACGGATGATTATCTGCACGATATACCAAATTTACATCCAATCATCTTATGTAGTTGGATCCCAGCGTAGTGTATTACTGTATAATGCAGATAATTGTAATTCTTTTGTAAATCACCTGTTTTTTCCCCATTAAATATTTTGATTGGTGCTGTAAAGAGCATAATTGGATTGAACCGAAGGTCTTAGTGGATGTTGACCACTGGTATATTGTATGATGTTGCTATGATTAGGAGCAGATGGTACCACTCATGACATCTCCATCTCTTTTAAATGTTAATGTTGACAATGTGAAGTAGCATGATGAACTTATTTTTAATGATGATGCTGTGATTGGTACCATTTTTGTATATCTGCATAAGTATTTAAGGCCTTATGCTTTCATAAAGGAGGAAATGGTGCAAGGATACTATAATATGCACTGTGCAATATTTAATACCAGGATCTAGTGAACAGCTTCACGTACTCTATGCCTATTTTTAATGTAAACATGCTGAAATTTTCATTCTTGATTGGCTGTTATGCTTTCCACATCTCTCTTGCTGAATCTGAGAATGCATTTTAAGCGTGATTAATGCATCAGGTAGTGGGAGACCTAATTGCGACCTTCCCATGATGATAAAGTATGCATGCCTCTGGCATTAAGCTAAATATTTATGGTTGATAGATTAACAGCTTACAAGTAATGAACTGTTACATCATTAAAGGGATCAATGATAATTTACTTATGTATGTGTGGCCATTGATTGATTGGTATTGATTATTGATAATAATGAGCCCATAATTGACAGTAATGCTAATAGTAATAATTATAATTTAATAATATGCAAATTTTGCATTTATAAAGTGTATGAAGCTACAGATATTTTATGCAAGAATAGTCCAAGTGCAAGTGTAAATATGTGTATATGTTTTTTTTTTTTTTTCAGAGACTACATGCAATAACTGATCAGTACCTATGCTCTGCTGAGCAGCCCTTCACTGTCGACATCTTAAAAGAAATAACAAGTAAGTTATTTTAACAATAATTTCAACAGTGTAATGTTATGCACATGATTCATATTGCTTTTACAATTTTCATTCTACACTATAACCTTTTCTCTGACAAAATAATGTGATTTGCTCATGGGCTTGGAGTGAAGCTGTGGTGTGGTAGTTAAGATGCTTGCCTGCCAGCAGCAACACTTAGCATGTGGACCCAATGACCAGGGAAAAGAACTGCACTTTATAACCGCAAGGAAGAGGCGCATTATAAATGCCCATACCAGTACCAGTACAGTTACGCAGATTTCTACAATAACTTTAAAACGAATTGGTGGTATTAAATCGACAGAGTGGAATTAGAGATTTTTAGCAAACTTGAGACAATGGGATACCCTTCTCTCAGAGAGAGAAGGGAGATTATTTAACCTAGCAAGTGCTTCATCCTATGATCCAAAGTCACGGTTTAACATAATTCTACACGCCCTCTTTTGAATGGCTTCAACAGAATTACTAAGTTTACACGTAAGTCCTGAGTGCCATTTAACATTGGCGTACTCAAGGATAGGCCTAACGCAAGTACAGTAAACAATGGATAATTCACAAGTACCAAATCCGTTCCTTTTAAGGCATTTCAGAAAATAAAGTTTCTGATTCGCTTTTTAAATTATATTATGTATGCAAGTCCCAAGTATTTTAGCTTCATTAACAAAGGTAAGTTGCGAGTCACCAATAAATAGTCACTGGTTAAGGGGGTTTTTGCTAAAACTATGGCTAAGACAAACCTGAAGTGCTTGGCACTTATTTGGTTTAAGACTAAGTGAGTTTCAGAACACCTATCATTAAACACATTAAGGTTATTTTGTAAAAAACTGCTCTCATTAACTATTCTATTTTCATAAAATGTAAGGTCATCAACATACTTAAGAACAGAGCAGTTAGAATCTTTAGCAGCATCATTTATCATTATTTTAAATCTAGTTCAAGGCAAAACTTAGTTCCTTGTTTGTTTAATAATCAGAGAGATGCTCGTTATACTTAACACGTTGTTTCCTGTCTCTAAGAAAGTGACAAAGCCAGGGAACAATCGATTCACGGACTCCACTTACAATAATTTTCTCAATAAGGATGTTGTGTTGAATAAGATCAAATGCTTTAGTGAAGTCTGTGAGGACGACCATTCCCATATTACGACTCCGCTCAGCAGTAGAGTTTAAGTCGTAATAAATAATGGTTGGTAGAGGCACCTTTTACACAACCATACTGGCATTTATCAAAACAGTGCTGCATATCAGTGGTAATCCATTGGCAGATAAAATCCTCAACAACTTTCGCAATGGTAGACGTTAACAAGATGGGCCTTAATTTCTCAATTTTAGGGGGATAGACCTTGGGTACCGGAACTACAAATGCCTCTTTCCACTGATGTGGTAGTTTGCCTTCCTGGAAAGAACCATTAAGAAAGTAGGATATATGTTCACTAAGCTCAAATGCAAAAATTCTTTGAAAATACGCGGTGAGAGTCCATCGGACCCTGCAGCCTTATTGGGATTTAGATTTTTAAGCTTACTATGGACCCCCCACAGTGCAACCTGAGGAGGATGTCCTTTATATGGTAAGTAGGAAGGGAGAGCTGACATATCTAATGGTGGGATGTCATTACCAAATCGTGCAAAGTGTGAATGAATAGCATTAGATATAGCAACACTATTCATCATGGGTATTTCAGGTACCTTTACAATTAATTTACCTTTATTATTAAATTTAGTTGTATCCCTAATATGCTGGTGCCATTTACGCGGGTTTTCATGTCTAAGATGTTTAACTCTGTTATAATAGTACTTACTTTTGGCAACAATAATTTTACGTTTAACTAAGTTACGTAGGCGCTTACATAAACTTATGTTACCAGATTCAAAGGCACACTGTCTCTTTGAAATTAAATCTCTTGAATTTTCAGTAAGCTGAATTTTCAGTAAGCCGTGGTTTATCATTACAATGAATCCTAACAATTTTTGTGGGTAAGTAGGTATTTAAACCATGGTCCAAAATATTATAGAATGAGTCCATCATCTGCTGGGTCGTGTTACCAGCTTTGACTGATTTCCAGTTCTGGTTTTGCAGATACTGACCAAAGTTATTCATAGGAGTGGTAAAGAAAGGGTGCACCGTGACCTTCCTTACAGAGTCACTAATGCGTCTTGATTTAGGTTTCCACAAAATGCAATTATGGTCACTTGTGCTGATCAGAGCCAGAGGGATAGGACAGTTGAAGTAATTTTCCAAATTAGAGATGACAAGATCTAAAGTGGCATTATCTCTAGTGTGGAAATCAACAAGTTGTTTTAAATACTCTGGACACGTCCATGCGGTTAAAGTCGCCAAACAAACAAAAACCAGATTCAGGAGACGTCCATTGTGTTGATTAGATGACTTTCAAGAATTTCTTGAAATGGCGAATCATTTGTAATATAAATTCCACAAACTATAATCTGAGACAATCCTTGAGGTAATCCGTGTGGTCTAACTTTGATCCACACAATTTCCAGCACAGAAGGAACATCAATATTTAGTTCAACAGCATGAATATCATTTTTGACATATATGGCAATGCCATGGCATCAGATCGAAATTTGGTAAATAAATTATATCCAGGGATAGAAAATTGATCTTTATGATATCTAGTTGAAAACCACCACTCAGTCACAATGCTAATATTCATTATTCATTTAATATTTCATTATTCATGAGTGATCTAACATTTGTTAGCTCGGACAAAGGAAGATTAGAATGGAGGGTTTATTCCTTTATTATTTTGTATAAAAAGTTGAGGAATGTAGTGTTCGGGAGAGACTTAAGGTTGATTTTGGTTTCGATATTCCAAACATAATTTTTGTGTTTGACAAAAACATTCCGATTATTGTACCCCTCTATAATAAGGCACTTCCGTTATGTTTGTCACTTACCTAGTAGGAGATGAATGGTTTTGATTGACATTGTCTGTAGGCACTGGATTATACGCACAGTATGTTTCCTGTGGAAGACACTACACATTGTGCATGTCTGTATTGTGACCTCCTTGGTTTCAAATCTTTTCAGAACCACACTATTTTTTTTTTTATTCATGTCTAAACAACTCTAATTCATTTTTTAGCTGCATAATAACACTTTGTTTAAAAAGCATCATTTCCATCTTGTAAGTAGATTGATATTGATGACAACAAAATATATTAAAATAATAACAAACTATAATAATATGTGTAATATTTAAGTGCTTGTATAATATCATGTCTATTTCGTGAATACTTACCTGGATAAACCGAATAATTGCCATTGTTACTTAATGAACACCCCTACAACAAAAATAGAACCGACCGATTGACCCAGCACATGACTGTGCCCACGCCCAATGTTTGTCCTCATTCCTTTGTCATCGGTCAACGAATGACGGCCACACCCAAGCGATAGAAATTGAATAGAGGAACAGACAGTATTCAGAAGACTGGATTTCCTTTTGGGTCTACTATATCTTTTTAAAGTTTTTAATAAAGAAGTTCATTTGAGTTTGTTTTGTGTTTCGTACCATCACTCTTAGCAAAGCTTGCTGCGCCGAGTGTGGGGGGCCTAAGCCTAGTGTTGAGTTCGACAAGCATTTTGGATTGCCCATAATGTCGGACTTGCAATGAAGAAACGCCATGTGAGGTTTGCGCTCGTTGGCCCGCGGCCATCTTCATTGTGGTCCGCGAGTGGTTAGCGTCTCTTACTTCGGCCACAGTGCCCGCTGTTTTGGAGGGTTGTGCCCCCTCCTGTGGCTATATATAATAATATGTGTAATATTTAAGTGCTTTTATAATATCATATTTGCTAAATCTGAGAGTTATATTTTATTATTTATAAATTGTATGTTTATAGATATTTTTCAAAAACTTGCAGTAGAGAAATCACACCAGGATTGGCTTATTGCATCTAGAGCACACATTGTAAGTTGATTATTAATTTATATATTATATATTCGTTCAATAGTATCTCATAATTTCATTCATGTAAAATAGTATTCAAAAATAGAATCAGGAACATATGACGGAAAATTTTTAAAAATAATTTAAAAAAACCCTAAAATTCAAATATAAAACATGAGAATTTAAATATAAAATACACAAAACAAAAAAATGAAGTAAAGAATTTATTTTTATTTTATGGTAGATGCGACACACGATTAAATAGACATTTTTATAGCATTAAAAGATTCTAAATACAGTACATCTTAAGACATGCTCCAACGTACTTTAACTATTATTAGGATGTGCAATGAGTTTAATACAAATATTATGAATTCACTCTAAAAATTGACAGGGCAATTTGATTCTACATTTGGCTTATATTAAACATCATCAGGAATAATACATTATTATCATCAGGAATAATATTATAATTATTACATAAACTCTTTGGAAGATTGAAAACAATTTTTGCAATAAAAAATCAGTTGCTATCAGTCATGATGTGCATTCATTGGTATTCGCATTCATTTGCTTGTTGTTTAAATCTGTAAGGGATCTGTGAACCTACAAGATGCTGATAGTAATCAATTTACTTCCCATTCATTCTCCTCTTTCACCCTGACCTACTTGCACAATAGTAAATTTCATTTCTGCCCATTTAAAATGCTTCTTTATTAAAACACAATAGGATGGAGGGAAATCAGCAGGCGATGCATACAATGGTTATGTTAATAGCAAAAGAAATTGCTTCCTATTTAATAGTGTACGTCTTTATTGATTATCTTTATCCTGTGGTTTTCTAAGTTTCTTTGAATGCTGGTTGCTGCAGTTTATTGCTGTTCCATCTTTTGTGTTGGTTATTGATTGGTTTATTTTTTTCCCCTTCTATTTCAGCCTCTTGTGAAATTATTAGCAGCCAAAGATATTCACGTTTTGCATTGTGCCTTGCATGGCCTCATTAGCCTGGCTAAAAGGTACAGTAGGCCACACAGCCGTAATATTCTTCGATCAAATTTTCATTTTTGTTTTACCACTTTTTGCCATTTCTGGTACACGAAAATAAATTTAAACATATTTAGTTTTCTATCAAATTGTTAGATAATAGCAGAAGATATATAAAAGTGGGCAAATAATTAGTTTCATTAATCAAATAAATGTTTGCAGTAAACCGCACAGATAGTCTTGAAAAACAGTGTTTTGTTATTGAGAATATTCAAACATTTTGAATAGAAAGCTTTAGATGCCTTAATGTGAATATGGTAAAAATAAATTGAAATTAAGAATAATTAACATGACTCTTCCCTACGAGAGGCCCTCTAGTGTCATGTTACACCTGTTCACAGTGGAATATTACACTTGTAACTCAGGTATTTAGATTGTTATATAATACATTTGCATATGAAAAACATTGAGGTTTTCATATGTAATTGTTATTATTTGTTATAGGAATAGCTTTATTAAAATTATGTAATATTTAAATATCTACAAATTGTTTTGTTTTAACTTTTTACTGATGGTCATTTTTTTTTTTTTTAAATGTTTTCATTTTATTTCAATTTTAGTCCAGAGACCAGACATATACTAGGGGAACTAAACTGTGTAGAACAGATTCTAACCATTTTAAAAGAGTATGGTAATCCATCGAAAATGTAAGTCTTTTTTGCCTCTTCACATTTTTTAAATCCAATGTCTAATTTTTAATAAAATATTTATAGTCTTAATATATTATTTGCTTTGTGCTTTTTTGTTTAAAGAAAACAAAACTGTTGACAATCAGTCATTTTTATTGACACATGTTTATCATTATCAAATGACATTTGACAACACAGTCTTTGTCACATGATCAAAATTTATTTGTAAATGTCACATAAGATATGAATAATATATACTGTAAGTGGTTTAATGTAAATCTGTTTGCTGACTGTATGCATTTTTCTTATTTTAGTTTGGCCGCTAAATTGCTGCGGCACCTGTGTCATGATTCAAGCGTGCGTGAATGGGTAAAGATCTATGATGGTGTGCCAACCCTTGTAAGCTTGTTACACTCTGATAATATGGAACTTCTATGGAATGTTGTAAGTCAATAATTTAATATTTTATCCTTTACTTCTGAAAAATATATAATAAAGAATTAAGTAGATTGACGATATAAGTAATAATAATTATTATTAATATTATGATAAACTTATTTTTATTACTATTTTTACTGTTAATATTATATTATAGTTGTCGTTGTTAATGTTGATCTCAAAATATGTCAAATGTTGGCAATTTAGTTACAATGTTTCTAGCTTTATCATTTGTAATGAGTTAGGCTGGTTAACTAATTTAATCACAATAATTCCATTTAGTAACATATTCACTTGGTTTACATGTAGGTGTGGTGTTTTGTTTTGCTTGCTGAAGACATGGATACCAGCAATGAGATCAGAATCACAGGTGGTCTACCCATCCTCTTGTCGCTATTACAGTAAGTTTGTTCTTGTATTGTCGTAATTTTCAGCATCTTTAGTTTAGTTTGGTCATAAACATCATGGTGATTGCAAACATAATGAGATCATAATGTGATCATAAACACAATGATCACATGCATAATGATCTCAAAACATAATAATCATAAACATTGTAATTATTACAACAATGATTATTAAGCAAAATGATCAAAAATATAATGATGACAAACATCATCATAATTACTATAATCATAATCTGCACAACCACGGATTATCATTTTGCATCTTTCTCTCGATAGAGATCGTAAGTATACTACTGACCGCCACAGTACCACTAGTGTCTCCAGTGCAAGTTCTTTAGGGAGGCTGTACTCAGTTACTGGTACTGAACAGGAACTGGTAAGAAACAGCTACCAATTCTCTTTCTGTTGTTCATTCTTTATTAGGCCAAAACAATTTTTGTGTTGACCACGTTTTGGGAAAATCCAATGGGTAGGTCGGTATAAAAACCTTTTTGTTTTTGACAACCAAATACTGTATGTGTTTACGCCTAAAAAGTAGAAAACACACAAATAATACAATTTTAGATTCGCATCCTGCAAAATAGGCTAGCCTTGGCCCTCTAGCTTGGCGAAGGCTATTCCAGCCTTATTTGCTCATAAAAAAATATTGTTTTTTGTCAAAAAAATAAATAAATAAATAAAATGCCGACCCTTAATTTTGTAAAATTTGGGTCGGTCGGGTGAGGCCAACACAATAATTTTTTTTTTACCTTATATAATCATGGAGAAAATAAAATATTTTATTTTCTCCATGATATAATGGAGAGTTGTAGGCTTAAAATAGTTGCTTTCTGAATAGTTCTAAAAATAATGTGGTGTACCGCAAGCATTAATATATTATTATGCTTATTTATGAATTGATCTAATGATGTTAGTATATAGTTATTAGGACGCTTTCGATTTGTGCAACGACGCTAGAACAGAATCACTCATGCGTGACCGTCCTACCTGGCATCCTGCATGCGTAGATTTGGCCAAATTGCGTTCTAGAATCTACTCGACGAGGTGACCTTAACGTTCTCGCATGCGCAGATGACTTTTAGGGACGTCATTACGTTCTGTGTAATGCTCCCTAGTAGTTAACGCCATATGTGTCTCTAGTTGATATCTTCTTGTTTTTGTTCGTAGGATGATGTTACTCTGGAGCAAACCTTGTCATTACAGTCTGGTGAGTGCATTTTATATTTCACTAATGATTGTTTCCTCAGGGGTCATCTATTATTTGAATTTTTACATGAGGTCATCTTTATCTTTTTTATAAAAGAGTACATATGCCTGCTCTGTCCTTTTGCGAAAATGATGAACATTTTGCATGGTCCCTACTCGTTTATGATCATCACAATTGATTGTATCGATTATCCACTTAGTTAACATTGTTGGTATTGTTTTTTTTTTTTCATTATTTTTATTATTATTAGGGTTGTCATGTCTTTGTTTTAATTGCTATTTTATATTTAAAAAAAAAAAAACGTCACTTCATAAACCTCAATATTGAACTCTGTTTGACAGATCATCATTCCATTGTGTTGTTTGCGTGTGTTCATGGTGTTCAGTGTGAAAAGAAGTGCAAATACAAATTATTTATTACATTTTTTGATATAAATAATTTATTAACTTGTAATCATTATATTGACATAAAAATAATCAATAATACACATTTTCATGTTTAATCTTGCTTATGATTTACATGATAATTGGACAATATTTTGAGAAGTTAATATAATATCCTAGTTCCATAACAATGGCAAACCATTGTTCACCCTTATCAAATTATTGATGTTTGTCTTAAATGTTAGCGATTGGACAATCTTAGGAAAAGTAATTATAATATTGCAATGCCATAACAATGGCAAACCATTATTCATCCTTGTCAAATTATTGATGTTTCTTTTAAATATTAGCGTGCTGTGCTGCATTGACAGAATTAGTTCTCAATGACAGCAACGCTCAGCAACTGGTCCAGAACAATGGAATCTATTATGTTGGCGTTCTCATCTTTCCGCAAACGACATCCAACGTAGAAGAGGGCTCAGCAGTTATAAACCTCCAGGTATTTCAATTATGCATATTTTTAGTAAACTGCAAATAAAAATCAATGTACATATTTAATTTGTATAGTAACTTATTAATTAGAATGTAAACAAATTAGTATTTCAACAACAATTTGTATATTAATACATAATAATTTGTAGGTTATATATGGGCCATATAAATATAACATCATTATTATTATAGTAATGAGTGACATTTATAAAGTACTGTACCCCAGCAAGCTGACTCCAGAGCGCATACAATCAATCCTATTTGAACAATACAATGCACCTAACACAACATAATAATAACATAAATTATTCTTACAGTGTACAATTAGTCTATAAATATATATAGAAAATTTATCATTAATTATAAAATAAATAATTCACCAAATAATAAGTCTAGTTACAATTAATTACAATTGGTTACAATTAATTTAGTGTATTTACATAAATTAATTATTACAAAAACATATTATGTTTATTATTATCATTATTATTATCATTATTCTTTATTATTATCATCATTTATTGTTATTATTATTATTATTATCATTATTATCATTATTTTTTATTTTTAAATTTGGTCATTTTAAAATAGCATTTTGTCTAATATCATATTTGAGACATGTGAAGTATCAAATAAAATTCCTAATACTTAGCACAATACAAAACTAAGTCAACTTTCTACATGAACCATAAAATTTTAATAATCAGAAAATTAGAATTTTAATAAATGGCACTATGTATAATATCAGGGATGATAATAAAATAGTAGCCTCATATAACATTTGTAAAATATATTACAATAAAAACAATACAAAATACTCATTATATGATATCAATGAAGTAAATATGTTATGTAAAATAGATAATAATGACACAATAAAAATGCGCTCTGTGTTGAAGAATATAAAGGATGTGATGATATGTCGTCATTTTTATCGTGTCTAGTGTATACGTACCTTAAATTTTCCATGTTTTTCTATTTTATTCCCCAGCAACATGCATTCCGTGCACTTCGATTCCTGTTCAGTATGGAGCGTAACCGACAGCTTTTCAAACGTCTTTTTCCTCCCGAGTTGTTTGAGATGTTCATTGATGTCGGTCATTACGAGAAGGAGATGGGAAAATATAAACCTATCGTCGAGAAACTTAATAGCTTAGCCGTGAGTAGACAGCAATCCACCACTAATTAGTAGACACTCATCTAAAACCCTCTTAAATTCATTTGCTCAGTATTGAAATATACCTGCAGACATTTTTTTCGTAAAAAATATTGTGTATTTTAATGTTCTATTAATCTATTGCCTTTTGAAAAACTTACAAACATCAGAGAGATGCATGGAATTAGAATATAAATGAACAATAAGTAAATTTATATAAAATTAAAATATCTTGTTATTGTTTTCACGAATGATAGTTTAGCTATTGTATAATTGTTGATTTTTGTTGAATTTCCAGAAAGAAGAGCGAGACAAAATCTTAGATAAGTTTTTGGAGACAAATCAAAACAAGGAGCCAACACAGTCTATTTCTGGTTACTTTGTGTATGAACATCTTGGTAGCGGTGCCTTTGGAAGTGTCTACAAGGTAAATTGCAATTTCATAGTTGTTTTGCTAAAGTTGTGTTCGCATTGGACTAATAATAATATTTCCAATATATTTCATATCCATTAATCTTAAGTTGTGTAAACAGTCTAACAGTCCATTTCTAAATAGTGGATAATAGTGCATTTTAATTAAGTAAGAGGCAAATACTGCTAATAGAGCTGAGAAATGCTCTAATGTATAGTAAGGTCCACTTGGAAATGATTGCAAATAGAAGTAGTAAATGTCTATTCATACAGACTGTAAGTCATATACAGGTTTAGCAAACAACATATTAGGGAATTTCAAATTCTCATAGAAAATCTAATACGGACTGTTGTTGACTCTGTACGGCCCAAATTTAGTAAACCACTTAAGATGGTATATTTTCAGCAAATAACTTATTTAGATATTTACTCTGTGTGCTCACTTCCAATTCGACACTAGATGCATAGTTAAATTTTTAACTCGCAGTTTGGTTTATACGTTTAATTACTTAGTTGGGATTGGATTCCATATGATGATGATGGGAAAGTACTAAGTCCTCGCAAAACTAGATCATTGATCTCGCATCAATTTATTAAGCTTCAATTTAGAATGATCTTGAATTTATGCAGACCTTTTTGCAGATTTGTTGACACAGAGGAAAACCATTTGCTTGATTAATATTTAGAAATTTGTTTGCTGCCATCTTGTGTTGTCATCCGATATGTAATCTTATCTGTAGGTAGTGTTTCCACAGCACTGAATTATCTAAAGATTATCTGATAAATAATTTTCTGATAATAATAATAATAATAATAATAATAATAATAATAATAATAATAATAATAATAAAAAAATGTACCGTATTCTTTGAAGACACTCATGGCGCATTGACTGAGCTATAGGCTTAGATAAATAAACAAAATAAATAAACTTTAAGAAACGCGAATGCAAATAATGATGAAATTCCTAAATACAAACATGAATTTAATAATGATTACAAAGAACACAAAATGGGTGAACGTTAGTTATTAGATGATGATTTGGGAATATTTTTAATTTAACATTGTTTAACCAGAGCCAGTGTTTCAAAATGGGTTGGTTACATTCCCTTTCCCCCCAAAAATAAAAAAAAATCTGTATATCAACAACGTATTTTATTACCAGGTGAGAAAGAACAGTGGCGGGAACTTCTTGGCTCTTAAGGAGATCAATCCGTCCATAGGGAAGACTGCTAAAGAGAAAGCAATAGAGAGTATTGTAAGCGAACTAAGCATCATTAAGGAACAGTTGAAACATCCAAATGTTGTCAAGTATTACAGAACTTTCAAAGAAAGTAAGTATAGTATAATATTATATATTATAATATTGTTAATTGTTATTCATATTCATACTATTTATATGTAAGTTTATTAAATAATGACTGCTTTTGGGACCAGGGTTTGTCTTGAGCATATTTGGTCTTAAATTAGAATAATAAAGATAATAGACATTTATAAATATGGTACCACAGAAATTGGAGGCTGTATTTAATTAGAGAGGTCTTTAATGACAGAAACCTTAATCTAAATCATATAAACAAACAAATTTGAACATTTAATTTGTTTTAGTTTGTTTGATTTTATGCAATTTTTTAAATATAATATGATTGCATCAGTTTGATGAAAGGTTTTTTTTTTATTGATGATTAATTTGCAGCTACTAATTTGCGATTAATAATTTGTTATGTAGATGATAAGTTGTATGTTTTGATGGAACTAATTGAGGGTGCCCCACTCTACGAGCATTTTAACTCGCTAAAGGAAAAGAAAGACAGCTTTACTGAAGAACGAATATGGAACATTTTCATACAGGCAAGTCAACAGTGTACCTTACCTCACATAGTTTTTTTTTTTTTTTTCAAACTTATTATAACTTAGAATTGCTTATTTGATGGGGAGAATAATTGATTTACATTTTCTTCTCAGATGGTCCTTGCGTTGCGGTATCTCCATCGGGAGAAGAAGATAGTACATCGGGACTTGACGCCAAACAACATTATGTTAGGAGAGAATGATAAAGTTGTTATCAGTGAGTATTGTCTGCCTCTTTTATTTATGCATTACTATTTTTTCTGTCCATTCCGTAGGTTTTGAAGAAATTGAACTAAAAATGATACTGGTGATTATAATTACTATAATTTTTGTTCATGTTATATTAACTTAATGACTTATAAATATTAATTGACACAGTTAATTTATTTAATTAGTAAATATCTGTTTACTTGTAGCTGATTTTGGTCTAGCTAAACAGAGACACCCAGATGCAAGTGAAATGACATCAGTTGTCGGCACAATTTTATATAATTGGTAAGTTGATTTATATTCATATAAATATCAGTTTATTCTTTATTGCAAGTAATCATGTAATTAAATTGTAAAATGAACTTCAAGAAGCTTAACAATTTCAACTTTATTTATTGAATGATATTTTTCTTTTGTAATTTGCAGTCCTGAAATTATTCAGAATGAACCTTATGGTGAGAAGGCCGACATCTGGGCATTAGGATGTATCCTGTATCAGATGTGTGCATTGGAGCCGCCATTTCACAGCAAAAATATGTTAGCTTTAGCAAGCAAGGTATATAAAGATATGAACGTATCACCCACACAAGTGTGGCGAATTGTACAATTTGAAAATGACCTATCCTTTTCTCCCATTTCCATTGTTCTTCCTCTCTTTGCCTTTCATACATCCTGCTTTGCTTTCTCCTTCAATTCCTCCTTGATTTGACATATACACATTTAGAATATTTTGAAAAACTGTATGTTACTCTTGTATGTCACTCCCCACCCCCATTCACTCAATCAACTCAATATAAAATGTTTAACTTTTTATCTGATTTCTCTTACATACATTAATTTTGTTTTTGTTTGTTTTTAAATAGATTGTAGCTGCTGATTACATTCCACTAAAAGAAGGTGCCTATTCAGATAAAGTTAGCAAAGTTATAGGAATGTAAGTACTGTATTCACTTAATTTATAGTCATTCTTTTTTTGTTTTTAGTTGTTTTATCATATTTTAGTTATTGTTACTAAGAGATAGTTTTTCATTGGATTTGTATGTTTAGTTATAGGTAAGTTTAGTCCTTTATTAAAGTTACTGTGTTTTAGAACCTTGATAAATGATTATCTGTTCAATATGTTTTCATGCAGGTGCCTGACACCAAAGCAAGATGATAGGCCAGACATTGTAGGGGTCGCAGGGTCAATCTCAGAAGAAATGATGAAGCACATGGACCAGCTCAATAAACAACAAATCAATTTAGAGAAGAGGCTTGCAAGAGAAAAGAAACGCACACACAAGTAAAGCATCAATTGTTTTATTCTGGTATAAAAACAATGGTACTATAAACAACAGTAGCATCAGCCGACAAAAACCAACATACGTCGTAAAACAGTAAAACGTCCATTTTACTAATAGTCGATTTTAAGAATGGTTTTGCCCCTGATGAAATCATCGTCCATTTATTACCGTAAAAAAAGTTTCATTGTGCACTTTTTACTAAGTGATAATGTATATTTTTCTTAATAAAATCAAGTTTGTTTATTTATTAATAGTTGGATGGAACTAGAAAGAACACGATAGAAAGGTCCATAAAACATACAGATGTTTGAATAAGAGTTAAAATAACATTTTGTTAAGTGGAACAATGTCAGTGATTAAAATAATTTGGTTTTTATCGAAGGTAAATTTAGCTAGGCTCTATAAAGGTAGACCAAGCTGCGGCATTTGTCGGTTCGTGCTAGGCCTGGCTCAATGGCAGGAGGTAGCTAGGCCTAGTTATTGGAAACTGACAACTGATCTAGTTTACAATTTTTCAATTTACGAATACCCCTTGGTACCAAGGGGTACGTAAAATGGACATTTTACTGTATTTATTTTTGACGTGGTGCTGACAAGGACCAGACCTGTTATAGTTTTGTTCTGGATGGACCAGACCTGTTATAGTTTTGTACAATATATTGAATACCAAAATGAAATGTAAACATTCTTTTTCCTTTGCAGACATTTCCATGAGGCAAATCTGAACATGCAGAATTATCAGAGACTATTCATAGCTTCTCAGGAACGTTATGACAAACTCGTGAATCTGGCAAGTAGTGGAGGTGCCTCTAGTTTCAAGAGTGAAACAGAGTAAGTTGCATCAGCAAGCGAGATGATGCAGTAATAAATATTTCTGTAAAACAAATCTTCCAATCGAGATTCAAACCCAATATCTTGTTCCAGCAGTTACTGCATGTTAAAATATGAAGGCTCTACATAAGCTTCAAATTATATTTACACAATATAGTACAGGTCTCCTTCTAATTAAGTACCCCTCCTATTAAAGACCACCTCCAAATATAGACCACTTTTGTGTGGGTTACAAAATAACAAATGTCTTTATTATTATTGTATCTTTATTATTCTAATTAGAAACCAAAGCTCTAAAGACCACGGAAACCCCGGTTCCGAATGTACCTGTATTTGTAGGATAGTTCTGTGTATGTTTATGTGTCGGTGTGGTAGTGGCGAGACACTGTCCATGTACTCCATCTAGTATTTATGTATACATTCTTTTGTAGGGATAAAGACAAAAGTTACTGATATTCAAATTAATACTCTACATGATTCGGATTTCACTTTAATATCTACAATAATACTCATCTTTCTATGATGCTTTTTCTTTCTAGTAGTGATGTGTTCGAATCTGCAGATGAGGCAAACACTCCCGTAAACCAAGGAGCCGGAGGTGACTTCAGTGTCTTAAAAAGCACAGGTTAGTGTTGAGTCGGTTACAATAATTCAATGACAAGAAGATCAGAAACAATTTTATCACATTATTATAAAAGGATGTGTAACAAATGTTCCTTTTTTGTTTCAACAGTGGGTAACCCTTCCAGCAAAATTGATACCTAGAGAAGTTATAATAAATCAATGACAAGAATAACTGGAGCAATGAATAATTGTATCATTATCATTTATTGACTAAAATTTGGTGTTACACATGCTCTTTTTAAGTGGGTGACCCTTCCAGTAAGCTGATAAGTGGAGATTTCTTTTGACAGCATATGGGTAAAGTTATGAAAGTTTTTAAACTATCTGTTTTTCTTAATACCTTAACAGAAAGTGGTATTGTTGATGATGACACTAGTAGTGGAGATAGCCTGGAGAGCAGTGGAAGCAGTGCTGTGCTTGGTAAGATAAAGAAGGCCTTAATCATTAAAGTTTCTATGGCTATAGTACCTTCCATATTATACATCACCATATTATGACCATTACCACCATATTAATGCCGTCACCATATTATTACCAGTATCATCACTCTATTCATCAGTCCATACTTATTTATTGTCATGTTGTCATCTTCTTATATACTATAGGAGCTAATTTTGCCTTGAGCAACAGTCGTGGAGGCCTGAACCAGCCACGACCTCCTCAAAAAGCAAGGAACGGCAGTGTATCAAAGAGACATGCAATGTTAGATCCACATGGTAAGGTCTAGCTTAATAACATGCATCATCTGCATTTATTACATGCATTATCTGTCTGATATAGGAAATGTGTCCGGCTTCTGCAATCTCTTGTGGCTACATCTTCCTTGCTATATCACTTGCAAGTACCCACAATACCTTCTCAAATGTATCTTACTGAGCGGCTATAGTGTATAATGTTAGTTTTTGTTTATACTCATTGATGGTGAGTGGACTGTTCACCTTCAATTAATACCCTCAAAATATGTCACATTGAATGTCACAGGCTTAACATCTTGAATTGTATTTTGAAAGACGATACACTAAATAGTAACTTACTTTTCAGCCTTTCTACTTAAAAAGAGACCAGTGATGGAATTAAACCAGGTTCCTATATATCTCCATTGTTACACACAGTGGCCGTCACTAGCTTAGCCAACAGAGGTTAAGCTGCTGTCCATCATTAAGTCAGCATTCGTCCTTCGATGCCCATTAAAGTAAATGCTGAGAGCCCTGCAATTATATTATTAGCCTAGCGTGTTCGTGAGGGATTAACGATTGAGGTGCATGTTCCCTGATTCGAAAACCCACAAAAGCCGACCTTTGTTTGTGTCCTTGGATATTGACACCTTGCATTAATTAACTCCTTCGTACGGGATGCTAAACTATCGGTGGTTTCATCACAATGATTGTCTGCACGAGACCTGTACACTATTCAGAAAAAAGGGATTGTCTCACAGTGTACTGATCTGTTGACTTCCTCCCATACTTTGTGTATTTGTCTGTGTTTTGTTGTTTTAGTGAAAGAAATTTCTTGCCTCCAACAAAGAAAGTGATATATTAGGAAATCCTTGGCCTTGATACCTAAAAATATATTTATCTTTCTTTCTAAATATAACAAATCATGATAATCACATGGACGTACAAGAATTGAACTTTGATCTGTAGCTGTCCATCACTCATATCTTAAATATTAAATCCTTTCAGCTGTACGTAGGGCATTGAATAATCATCTGTCTCCTGTTGATGCTAATTTTGGTAGCAGTGGAGAACGAACCATTCAGCGCTCTATCAGTGGATCGTATGTTGAAACAAAAAGGCGACAGAACAGCTCAACTAGAAACCGACCACGTAAGTACTTAACTGTTCTTTATAGCCATGTTATAAAATGTGTTATTTGTAAGAGTTGAACCCAGTATACTTGGTTTTTAAGGCAGGCACCTTATCTGCCATACCTCATTACAATAATCATTGATAACAGTATTTATCATCATCATCATAGGAAAATGCAAGCAGCAATGCACCAGTGTTACCTCTCGCAATTAATTTCCTTTCATTCATGTTATGCTAGTGATTTAAATTTTTAGACAATAAGATACAGCTTTAGATTTTTAGACGATAAGATACAGCATTAGATATTGATATTCTATTTAAATCTTAACAGCATCAGCAGCAGCGACGTTAACCATCTCGCCTCGTAAGGTTCGTCAGATCAAAGATCCGATTCTGGAGATGCTACACATGATACACAAAATCATTTTCATTTGTCAGTTACCCCCGACACTGACTTACAACCCACGGCGCCGTGTGATCGAGTGCTTCAAGCGGGCGCTGTTCTCACCTCAGAGTAGTTCAGTGAACCTGAAGAATGAACTGAAGAAAGTGATCACAGGAAGTAAGGACCTGGTGGATTTGAACTTTGGCCTGGGTGAGGCATCATATCTTTTCCGCCAAGCGAGTAATGAAGAAGCTTCATTGCAGGTGACAGGTGAAAAACCAGGTAACCTTTGACACTGTTAGGAAAATTAAAGATACTATGCTGTTTGTTATGCTAATACACTTTAAGTATATACTGTGTGTATTCAGCTAATAAGAACCTGAACATTTAAATCAAAGAGTATAGAATAGCAAGAAGTCTGACTGCTGGGGTTTCTTTGAAATGGAACACTTTCTCGAAAAGACTACCATGAACTAGGGGGCGCCCCAAAAAGAACGTAAAAGTTGTTTGTATCGAATGCATACCGAGTTTGAATTTCAAAAACTCTTCAAATTCTAATAGGGCTCCCCCTACCTTGTGGTAGTACATTTTTTTGTTTCATTGCATTTGTTTTGTATAGTCACCTTATTTCAAAAAATTATTTTCTATGTAGTGGAATCTCGGAATACAGTATATCTCATAATTATCATTTATGTATCTGCTCCTCAGCTCACAGTACTGTAGATCCTCATGATCCTGATATCGGTATTAGCTACGAGCAGCTTCACACATTCATTGAGAGCGTGCTCAAAGAATACGGTTATTACAACATGTCACCGAATGCCAGAAATCGCACTCTGCCTCTAGCTCCGATAACAGGATCCGTACCTTGTCTCCTAAGGCAGACATCATTGGAAGCAGGCGTTTTGTGATGCTAAGCTCAGTTGCTGGCAGTGTGGTTGTGGGTGGGTAGATGGCAGGGGTGGGCAGTGGAAGGCGATATGGTATTAGCAGAAATGATAACGAGATTTCAATGACGATTTTACATAAGAGTGTACAACAGACTTTTCCGCAGTTTCAATCAAATTTAACAACTGACCAATCAAAACAGTCAACTTGGTCATTTTGTGGGACCTTAGCAACAATATCCAAGGGGCGGGGCTTAGCGGAATGGTCCATTAATTATTCAGGTAAAGATAAGAACAAATGAAGAAGCAAGACTAATGACATACATGTACTTGCTGAAAGCTATGAAGGGTACAATACCAAAGCAACTGACTGGATTATTTCTATATAGAGAGAGCTAATATTTTGAGCAATGAAAGTCTAATTCATATATTTTGAATTGAGAGAAATAATATTTTATTTTTTAAAAGAGGTTGATCCTTTTTCAAAACTTGAATAATACCAGGGGGCTGGCTCTTCTGGAACATATTGGCTAACGTATTATCCCGCCGTATGTACAAGTATTTGTATGTATTTAATGTAGTTTTTTTTTTTGTAAAAATTAGATAAACATTTGGTAACAAATGTTTTCAATACCTGCAGCACAAAGTACTTAATAATTTTCTTTGTTGTTACTCAGTCACATTTTGATGACATTGAGTGACAATTGTGGAGGTTTAATTATACATCTACTATGGTAGGTGAAGCCATGTTGTGGTGGCAATTATAGTGGCATTAAAGAGATCTTAATATTTTTATATCTCAAATTTTATTAAATATCCTCACATTGCAGGCTTGTCATACGTGTATATAAGGGACTACAAAATCGTTATATTCTAAGGTCAATGTAATCAAAATGGGTCAGTGTAAACATTTGCATAGGACAATTATTAATAGTTACATGTACATCCTGACCAATCAAGTCAGTCCATACCTAGTATTTACATGGGGTTAAGATAGTTTTATTGTAAGTGTATTTTCTTTACAATGCAGTTCTGTGTGAGTTGGTGTGAATGTTTTCCTAGTTAATATTTCTTTTAAAAATATAGATTGAAACTGTTGTAATATTAAGGATATAAAAATCTGTATGTACAGAAATGTAATTAAGTATTTTGAGTATTGAATAGATATCTAATAGCATTAAAATTTGGAAATTAAAGGAGGAATTCCATTGTTACACCTGTTATCTGAACTGGTGCCTTGTTAATGCACATCCCCCTTGAAGGTCATATGCAAATTTTAAATACCTTGAGTACTACATTTGCATATAATATATGCAAATTTATTTACAATTTATGTAAAAACGAAAGTTAGTCTATGCTTGTTTTTTTAGTTTCTCCTTAACTTTAAACAATTTTGAAAACCTTGTATTGAATCCCTTTATGGTGATATGCAAATTATAAATACCTTGAATACTACATTTGCATATAATATATGCAAATTTATTTACAATTTATGTAAAAACTAAGGTTAGAGTCTATGCTTGTTTTTTAGGTTTCTCCTTAAATAAACAATTTTCAAAACCTTATATTGAATTGTATATCAAGTATGTCACCTTAGCCTCATCATGATTTTTGATTAAAATTTTGCATTTAAAATCAACAGTACTTAGTAGACCAGGGGTCGTTGTGCATTATAAAATTGACCAATGGCAACCCTCCTTTATTTCCATCTTTGAATCCGTCCAAAATTGCATGCCAGTGAATTTACTGTATGGTAATAAATGCATGTATAGTATTCCAGCATGTTATTCATATGTTATATGTCCAGTAGCAAGTCATATACCATTTACTGTACTTGCATACATGTCATGTAGTATGTTAGTTATATAACAATACTGTATTGTAATTATATATTCTACACATAGATGAATGTAGTATGGGTTTTGACATGCATGTAGATAAGGAACTGAAAGAAGAACGTTCAAGCAAGTGCCTTGAGTTTGATTATAAATAATATACAGGTTATATGTAGTGATCTTCCATTAATGTACTATACGTGTACTGTATGATGTAATACATTCATTGTGTGTATTATAATACAGTATGCCCTCCAATTCAAGACCACTTTTGGTCTTGGAAAATTTGGGGTGGTCTCAGGGTTTGGTCTCCATTTGGACTGTAAGCTTTGTGTTAAAAGATCGCGGATTGTTATTTGGTTTTTTTGAAAAAGGTTTTGAGGGTCTCGGAATTAGAGGGGTCTCAAATTGGAGTGTGCACTGTATAGTTAATGATTGCATATACTATATGATTGTATCTACAATAGTACAGTACAAATATAATACACATTATATAGTATAGATAGTTTTCTCAGAAAGTTAAGACTGAAGAAATATTGAATATATACTGTGCTACAAATTTATATATAAATATATATTTAGAATAGAAAAGCTGTATTTTAGAGGTGCATTTTACAATCTCAAAAGGATATATTTGTAATTAACAGTTTCAGGTAGGCATGCAAGAGGTAGGAATGTAAAATGATCCTAGTGATTCAGATAGTTGGTGTGTTACAGTAAAAAATCCTTGCCGAGCCTCAGGGCTCATGTGGCTGAAGCTTATCCCCAATTCTATTAGTGTAAAGCGGGTGAGTCTCTGAAACTCCCCCTGGGTGGGACGCAAGTCTGTCGCAGCTTACTCCCAGCAATTAGCTGGTACCCACTGATACAGCTGGGTAGACTGAAGCAATGAAAAAAAAAAAGGCCTTGCTCTAGGACACAAGCAAAATGCACAGCGAAGGAGTGATACCTTGACCTCGAGTTTGGTTGGGAAACCAAACAATTTCCGCTGGGACAAACCGCTTCCACTGGTGTTACAGTATATTTGTTTTTTAAAAAATGCTGGAAGCATATTAACATTAGGCACTCGGATTAAAATACTGTTCATGCTAGATGAAAAGGTACCTCAAGCAGTTGGGATTACAGACACTCCAGCGTTGGTTTTCCATTCAGCTTGTTGGTCACTCCAATAGTGTGGTGGTAGGTTGGGTGGGGGAGGTGGTACCATTCCTAGGCTGTGGACAGTAAGCATTTATTGTATATCCATGGCAGCAGCTAGTAAATGTACAGGCACTCTTAAATCAAAATTGATTTTTAAAAATTGTCATGTTCTTATACACATCTAGATGTGTATAATTCATATCCATACCCCTCTTTGTTAATAATAATAATAATAATCATTTATTAGGCACCCTTCCAAAAGAGACCAGAGCGCCGTACACATTAAAACAAAGGTATCAATACACATGTAACAGGCAAAAGCAAATCATTAAAACAAGGGTTAATATCAAAAACAATGTTAGTACCACTCCCTCTCTCCATGTCTCTTCCAATGTTCTATTTTTGCCTTTTTTTCAAATTTATCCCTCTTTATTTTCTTACCCTCTTATTTTTTTTTATCACTTTACTAATATTATCCCTTTTTATTTTCTTTCCCTCTACCTTTCCTACCTAACTTTCTTCCTTACCTCTCAGTTAAGTTAAATTTATATTATAAAATGCAGTATTGGTTACTTTAATACTTTAAGTTGTATTTAAGTTTATTTTGATAATTTGAATTCTTTTATCAGAATATTATTTACCTTAATTTCCGTCCAATGATTCTCCAGATGTGATTATATATATTAATTAATTTTAATTTTATGACGCACTGAGATCATCCAATTAGATTTAAGTTGATTTTGTTTATGCAGTATTTTATTTTAAATGTGTTTTGTTTTTTTTAATGTTTTTTTTTTTCATTTTTGTTATTCATTTTATTATTTTAACCATCTATGCCATGTTTGTATCTAAATGTATATTTTGCGCAAAATTTATATATAAACACAAGAGTATGTTAACAGTTAGCAGTGATTATTACTAATCCGTCCAATCAACTTTGAACTTTGCAGTTTATGAATATTTATTTACATGTGTGCTGTGCTTTGTATACCTCTAATTTTGAATGATATGCTGTAGTAATTTAGATGTTTTAATGATACTTGTATATTTATGTACAAATAACTCAATTGTATATTGTAATCGGAGTTCATCTCTTTTAAAAAAAAAATTATACTTATTTGATAAGAACAGTATTGTATTTTGGAATATTTTAAAAATATTTTCTCTTAACTGTACTCCAATTGCCTTTCTAAAGTAAAATGAAATGCTAATGTCAAATAAAAACTATTAATTTTGTCCATTTTGTTCTGCAGCTTGAGAAGCAAAAGTTTGTATCTCTGTATGCAAGTCAATGTTGATTCCCTCCAAACATGATATATTATTATTATTATTATTTGTATATTATTTCTTCCTTTTGTACTTTTTTATATTTGTTTTTACTAATATAAAGGTTATGTAAATGTTACCTTCATTCACAAAATTGAAGCTTGTTGCACCAGTGCCCAAAGATTGGTACTAAAAGCGATCAGGATTTTCAGTTTAAATTTAAAGAAATTTATTATAAATCAATAAATATTTTCTACAGATTTAAATGGTCTTTTTATCCACTTAATAATCCTATTGGTTTAGTCTTTAAAAGCTTTCAACAAAGCAAGTGCCTATATAATCAGATATACCAGTAGAACTATCAAAATGAAAGCCCCTTTTCACAAAAATGTATGTCCAACCTGTATTAAGCCGGTTTTCCACGAATCGAAGGCGTCGGTTCGGTTCCTGAGCTGATTGGTTGCGCACATTTTTCGCTTAGCAAAAAGTAGAAACAGTTCAAACTACCAATAGAAATGTGAATGCGCATGCGCATGAACGACGCTTTCGATTCGCGCGAATAAATTCGTGTAGTGGAAAACCTGCTTTATACAATTATAGCCCCCAGTGAACTGCAAGCTGTACTCTGTCCTAAGACGAAGTCAAAGCACATAGTACAGCCTCCATATCACAGAGGGCTGTAATTTGAACTATTATTTTATTTAAAACTATGTTGTTTTATTTATTATATACTTTTCAATTTTGAAAGTATAACAGAGACCACAAGAAAAAAAATTGTGTTGTTTGCAGTGGTGAATGTTACAAATCTGTGAATTTTGATTAAAAAATAAACTTGAATTGAAATCTTATTGTTTGTATGTAGTTTGTGTATTATAACCTTTTAATATTACAGAAGGCTGCATAAGTCGGATATCTGTAAATATATGGTTGAAGAGAGCAGTTGTATTCACTCTGTGTGTGCTGAATTTTAAGATCCCTGTGTTCCAGGTTCAGTTCTATTGCTGTCATCAATGTATGCATTTCAGGTACTGGCTTGGGCAAGACTTGGTGTGATGTGAATATACTGCCTAAAAAGTGGAGATAGTTACACATTCTATACGATACCATTTGCCGTGACCAGAAAAATAATTTTAATGTGCTTTGAGATGTTGGCGTCCTTTTGACAACTGATTGAATTTGTCTATAAATTTACTGAGAAAAATGACAGGTAAACAACACACAGTATTACAAAAAGATTAAAAATTTAATTTGGTCTTTAGAAATGTCAGATATCTGAAAATTATATTATATAGTAATTTTCAAATAGAAATATCTTTGAAAGTTGCATTAAATTTTGCTGAAACTATAAGTTTATCCAAGAGTAGGTAAAGAGTTTATCCAAGAGTAAGTATACATATTATTATGGTCTATATGCTCGGACTAACTCACTCCCCAAAGGGCCTATCAACTACATAGCAGCGACTGGATTGAAAGGCCAGGTTAACCTCTGCTCTTCTCAAAGGATGTCCTTGAAGTGTAAATAATAGTTCATTTACTGGGCTTGCAGTTTATAGTTCATACTCAAAGGCTTCGTACTACGACCCAAAGTGCTGAGGGAGGGTGGGGAATCAAACCAGCACAGATGTGCTTGAGGCGTCCCTGTATTTACTGCTTGCTATTTCACTGGGCCTGAGGGCATTGATCCATTGTTGTGATGATCAATTATTGCAATGTTCCTATTAGGCCTCCTTTTTTCCAGATGTCATTCAATTGATATGTTGAAATTCCCGGCTAGCATTTTCACCTGGGGATAAAATATGAATTGTTAAATAAATGTTTATGTTATTAGTTTTTACTGAAAAATTTAAGCAAAAATATATTTTCCTCACCCATGATGCCTATATACATATACATACTCTAATTCTTTTCAAGTTTTATCAACCCTTTGTAAGAATAAACATAGATAGATTTATAAGTAATATTTATTCAATTACTTTGTCTATATTTTGTTGGTGGTTACTAATTGTTTCCTTCACGATCTTTAACCTGGTACTTTCCTCCCTTTTCCGTATTTCCAAATCATTACATCGTCGTACATATTCTTGTTTATGGTTGCTAAGGAGATGTAGCTTCTCTTCAAGTTTTCTCATTTCATCTGTTATACGTTGCTCTTCCTTTTCAATGTTGCCAAGTACTTTCTGGAACAGAGCAAAAAAATGAGTGAAATGTTATTAAAATCATTTTCCTTAAGAACAATTAATTTTACATTCTGTAAGTAGCGAGCACCCTGTTGTTGGATGTGAATTGAAATACAATAAATAAATTCCCTGATGCTCTAACACAATAAAGGTCTAAAAATTCAGGAATATGGAATGAAATCATTTTTTTTTTTTTTAATGGACTGCTGTTAGAGAATTGCTAAATTGAACTGTTGTTATAAGAATGATGTTCAGTAACAATTTTTTTACAAAATCCTCTACATCTGTCGCATGTCTCTCACCTTTTCTTTGTCATAATTACTTTTTAACTCATCCAACCCATGTATAATGTCACCTTCTTCTTTCCTTAATGCCTCACATCTGATCACAAGGCCTTCATACTGGTCCTGGTAGAACTGGCCCTGGTCGTCATTCCTCAAATCACTTACTGCTGATTGAACAACATGATGCCTTGAATTGCGTGATTCCAAAGCAATTCTGGGACGATTGGTGTACCTGGATGGATTGTAGGAGTCGTTGAACTTCTGTCGATTAGTTGTGCTGTTAAGTGGGTTGGTGTTATGGAGTCTGGATGAATTGACCTGGCAGATGACCTGCTGTAGCGCAGTATTGACAGCCGTTGAAGTAACTATAAAAACATATGCAGAATATATGTATTAATGGTAACTGTCAGGATAACACTATATATAACACTGACACTAAAAAATCCCAAAAATCTAATTAACATAAAAGATATAACAGATTAATTTGTCAATGCTACACTATAGAACAAAAGAACACAATATACAAATACTTTAATTTACATTTCTTCTTGATCTTCATAATGTTTACTAATTAATACACTGTACCTCTTGTACGACAAGTCGGGCACTTGATTCTGTCTTCTGAGCAGGCTTCACAAAATGTATGACCACAGGGAACCAGCAGGGTTGGAGTGTGGTCAGGAGGTACCTGAGAACATGAAAAATAAATTATTCTTAGTATATATCGTATTGGTGAGTTCATGCTTAACAATGCATACAGCAAGTGGTGGAACCAATAGCAGAAGGAGGCTTAGAATTCCTTGTTAGGAAGCCCAAGTCACTCTCCTCCCCTGTACCACAATTTTTGTTCAATTCTCTAGAGATAATATGATCATTAGAATAGTTTAAATGGCCAATATTGCCCAGTTTTTTGTGACGCTGGACTACACTGCATACAGACTGAAATTTAAAAAAAACATTTTATAGATCACTAATGTATTCAGATCCTTGATCAAATTCAGATGAATACTCATAGCTGCTTACCATTAGTTGCTTACACTTTGCACACTTGTGACTCAAAACCTCATCCTCATTCTCAGTATCTAAGATGCTTCGCTTTGGGGGATCCTCAAACATGTTACTAACACTCTGTCTTTCAAACCTTAGCTCAGACTTGACTCGACTTGCAATCTGGTCAGCTAAGCGGTCAAACACATCAGCATTCATCAGCCCAATATTTTGTAAGTCTGACTGTGATTGGTTAGTTATTGATTGATTTTCTTGGAATTGAGATGATGTGCTTTCAGAGTTGGCATTTGACAGGTGTGGCATTTTCTCTGTAGTTAACAATTTTGTTCTATTTATAGAATCTTGTATGTTTTGATTTTCCTGTGGTTCATGCAATTTTAGTTCAGACTGGTTATTTAATCTTTCCAACTGACAGACTTCTGTGGCATCCTCTTCATCCTCTTTTCCACAACCAGATTCGTTTGTGAGGGCAGCTCTACCGCTGGGAGGCCTTGACGATGCACCACTTGCAGACCCTGATGATGGTCGTGAAGAGGGTTGTGATGACCCAGTTGACAACTTTGAACATCCTGATGAAGGCCTTGACTTAACACCAGCTCTAGACTTATTATTACTACCTTCAGAAGGTCTACGCTCTTTGTCTCTTCTGATATCAGTAGATGATTTGGAAGACAGCTTTGCTATCCTAGTGGATGGAGATGCTGATCTAGACCGAAGTGATGGTTTTTGCTTTGGCTTTGTTCCAGAATTTACGATCCATGATATCGTATCAGAGTCTGGAGATAAAAACATTGGAATAAATGTATCATTATTTGAACAGAAGCATGTTTACTAGATAGAGTGGAGTGTGTATGTGAAAAGGAAGAGAAATAAAAAAAAATGTCAGTAGAAGGGAAAGTAAAACAAAAATATAAATGTTATATTCAGAAGGTTTATTGTGATAATGAGATAGTACCATAATGAAATAAAAAATATCATATATTTACCTTTTTTCTTTGCAGGTTCATTTCTTTTATTTGGTTTTTCCTTGGTATTTGTCCAAGTTGTATTCACTGGTGTTTCCTTGACTCCTTTTTCTTGATGTAATTTCCTTTCCCTCATCCAATTACTTTGCATTCGTTTGATATCTTGCAACTAAAAAAACATATTTGATTGTAAACAATATTTTATTATAAAAACCAAAAGGTCCACTGATTAATCTCGGATAAGATAGTATAATACATACTCCAAGTATAGAAATGCACGCCATCATGTCGGGATTCAATATTTCGATATTAATTATGTCATCATCGGGAATGATCTATCTACTAGGCCTAGGCCTACTTCTAGTACAAAGGCTAAGCTAGGGAGACAGTCCAACAGACAGAGAGGCATAGGCCTACCTCTTTAGACATTAGCCACCCTAGCTAGCCTAATATGAGATGTATTGGCAGGCCTAGCCTGTGTGTGCATATTGAGCTATATCGTAAGCTATGGCCCAGGATGATGGGTAATGTTATGCTATTTGTTTTTTAATTTCCATAATATACCTTACCTTTTCTTCTAATTGCGGATTTGCCTTCTTACCCTTCATGCTTGTCGCCATTGTTTTTGTTTAGATGGTAGGATGTTCATAAAAATTATTTTTAATTAATATAAAATAATTTTTAAAAACCTCCTAATTTAATAAAACATTAAAACATAAATAAGGTTGAAATATGACATTTAATGTTTTATCAATATTTACATATAAAACAACATTTTCTAAATTTTTTTACAATAATAAAAAACAAGAATGAATTGTTGTTATGATGCACAGCGCCACCACATGTGTAGCATAAGCTGAGGTCGAGAAGTTGGTGAAGTTGGTAGGCTTAGGTAAAAATTGGTAAAAATCTATGATAAAAGTGTTGTTTTTGTTAACTTTTATTTAATAGTAGATGCTATTAATATTAATGTCTGTAAGTACGTACGCCTAGACTCCGTATCTAGGCCTAAGTATTACTATTAGCTAGGCTAGGCCTAGCCTAATTTTGCCTGCTGTACTCCTGTAGCCAGGAGGATTCTCCTACTTACTAGGCTAGCCTAGCTAGAGTCCTAGCTATCTACCTGCAAGCCAAGAAGAGTCTCAATCAAGAGGTAGGCCTAGCTAGGCTAGAGGAGGAGAGGTGTTTGGACAGGTAGGCTAACTCAGTAGGAGAACCAGTCAATTCGAGCGGATGCCACTTCGAGCAGAATTTACTTTGAGCGGATGGATGAAAGTTCGAGCTGAAAAAGATCCACTTGTGCGAACAACAGCCTGTGCGAGTTATCTACGAATTACTTTAAAATTTTCTATGTTGAGCTAACAATTTGCATTACTCCTATTTACAAGTAGTAGGCCTAAATCCTAAATCTACAAATACAATTACAACACTATATAATTCAATTACAAATATAATTTGCTTTTTTAAATACAAAACCCAACTGGAGACAAAAAAACCGTGAAGCCACCTGAAACATGCACAATTTTATAGTTTTAAAATATACGTGCTTGCTAGCGGCCATCCGGTAGTCGGATTTGCCATGACTGTAATTCAAACATGGTATAATTTAAAAGTACCAAATCATTTCAGAACTTTAGTGCACAGAGCATTTTTTGCATTTAAATCAAACAAATACAAGAATAGGGCGACGATAATAGACGTAACCACCAAACAACTCAATTATAATTTAGTGTAGAGATATATTAGGCTATATACTGTACTGTAGACCTAAATGTTTTTATTTTTGTGTTGTTGTCATCTAGGTTGATTATGGCGATGCAGCAAGCTGGAATAAATGTTGTCTCTGATGAATCAGGTAGAGGAGAATACTCTTATTTTTATATTCTATTGCCTAAATTTTTGTGTAAAATAATGAAGCAGATATTTAAAAATATTGCCTTTCAGATATATTTTGGTACCTGTATTAAAAATTCGCCAATTCGTTGCTGAAAACTCCATGATGAAAAACAATCCTCCACAACAACTAACATCAAGAATTATCATGCAGTTTTGACACTTTAGATCATATTGAAATAAAATATTTCTGGTCCTGGATTATTTAAAAGATGATCAATTCCTTTTTTATGTTTACCCTGAACACAAAAACCAGTTAGACACACGTATAACTTACATTATTTCCTGACACAAGCATCATCAAAACATATATTCTTTATTAGGTTATTTCTTTACATTTGTCTTGTTAATGGAAAAAGGAAAGAGAAGAGAAGGCTAAAAGAAAAAGGATGAAGAGATGTTATTTTCGTATTTCCTTGTGAACTCACGGGCATGTCTCGTGAGTTTGATTTGAAGTTGTTTTATACCAAATAGAACTATCACATTGTTCATCTGCAAATGAGGCCCCTGACCACCGTTACAACAGGCATGTTGAACTTGCCCAATTCAAATCCAAAATGGCAGTAAAAAATTGTTCGAATAAATTTGACTTGCAGATCTTTAATTAATGGTAAACACAACAATTTATTTGAGATAGGCAAAGTTGACTTGGGTAAGTTTAACTGTAATTAAAATTATAGAGGTAAACTACAATGCATTTAAATATTGATGATTCTACTTACCAGGCACGTACATTGCAGCGACTCAGCGACCCGATGGATCATGGCGCAAAACTCGTAAAGTAAAGCCAGGCTATGTACCACAAGACGAAGTACCTGCGTGAGTATACCTTTCAGTCGACTTGCATCCGTATCACTGACATCCATCCCAATCACAAAATCTGTCTTTGTTTCTTCTATGTGTGTATTTGAAATTAACTTACCTAATTGAACTTGACTTTTCTGTAGCAAAATTGCAGGGTATGATTTTAATAAGGAGCTTAGCTAATTTTCACAAATACCCTCTGAAAAAATAAAACAGATATTGCCTGTGAATTTTTGTAGAAGCGGCGCAGCGTGAAATGTTTGGTTCCCAACCTTGAGGTCGGGGTTTCAATCCCACGCTGTGCATTTCACTTGTGTCCTTGAGCAAGGCACTTTATCTGCATTGTTTCTCTCCACCCAGGAGTATAAATGGGTACCTGGTGGGGTTGCTTGCTCCTGCGCTGACTACAGCAGCAACACTTGAGCATGTTGATCCACTAATCAGGGACAGAAGCGCTTCGTATCTGCAAAGAATATAAATACTCTATGAGTATGAATTAGGCATGCAGAGCTGAAAATTGCCTTTTGATTGAAAAGGGGGATTCCCCAGGTAAATCAGCCCAATTTTGTGTTCAGTAATGTGGGCTTATATCAGAGGAACTTGATAAATATTTGTTTAAATGTTACGAACAGTAATGGTTGGAATGTAAAGAGAATAGGGAATTGATAATTGAATCCATAATTTTGAATTATTTAGTTCTACTTCTTTAGCACATACCTCTTAAAGTTTATTACTGCCATCAAGAGATATTTAATGATTATTATAATTTTGTTTATATCATTTTAATAACATAAAAGTTATTTCCACCCAGAGAGTGTTCATAATAAAATGGTAATTGGCATAATAGAATAATCCAATCCATGAGTTCAGTGAGATGCCTTTGAGATTTATCCATAATTTGCTTAAAATACTTTAGATTTTTTTATCCTCTATGTTTGTCTGGCCATCGTCTAGTCTTGGGCATAAACCAGATATCGGTACTGGTACTCTGGTTTTATTTGTAGTCTTGTAGATGAGGTTGCAATGATTGTTATTTCCAGTGTATACTGTGTTATTAATCACCTAAATGTGTGTTTCATATAACTTTTTAACATTTGTATATTAACTTAGAATACTGTTAGGAAGTTTTCATTGGAAATGTATTATTGTTTCTTGATTATTACCATATAATTTAGATAAATGTGTGTTTGGTTTATGCACTGCAGGTTAAATTGTACTAAATCTGTTACTAGTTTATATAATAGTGAATTTAAATCTTGTATTATGAGCTTGGTTTTCATGCAGGTGTTTATTTTTTAGACTTGTTTTAAAATGATGACTTTAGATCTTGAATTTGATTTTTGGTATTGGAGTAAACAGACTGAGTTGTGAGTTTAGGTTGTTAACTGTATCCCGTCCAGAGTCTGTGTAGTAGTCCCCTGGTTTGTCATCTGTGAATCTATACATGTACCATGATTCTGGACTTTGGATTCAATAGAAATTTAGTCTCCTTTTGTAGCCCTTATTTGTAGATGAACATCATAAACTAACTTTTGTTTGTTAATAGCAGATAAAAACATCATTAACTAAACTTGAAAATTATTATTTACGGACTTTATTCATGAATTTATCAAACCAGATAAATATCAATTATTTTTTTTATTTTTATTTTTTTCTAACTGTTCTAAATTTAGGAAAGCAAATACGGATCATTACCCGTATTTATTTTTCATTTAGTAACACTTTATTCAACATCCATCACAAATTCATCACAAGTACAAACAAACATGAAATAAAGTATAGATAAATAAAAGTGAATTTATTATAGTCAAAAACAATATTAATTTTTTTTTACTTTAATGATTATAGATATGAAAGTGTGGGAACACAGTTTGTGAAAAGTAAGCCAAAGCTTCCTCCTGGTGTATATGAAGAGCCTAAAGAGGTGAAAAAAGAACCTTTATCAAAAGCAGCAAAAAAGAATGAAAAGAGGAAACAAAAAAGAAAGGAAAAGAAAGAAAATTGTGTAGAAGATGTTACATCAACTCTTGAAAAAACAAGTTTAGAGGATGAGCCAGTAAACAAAGAGAAACGGTTGAAAAATGTAAAGAAAAAACTGAGGCAAATTGATGAATTAAAGGAGAAATTGGCATCAGGGGAAATCAAAGAACTGTCGGAAGATCAACAGAAGAAAGTCGCTCGACAAAAAGAACTCAAGGATGAACTTAAAACTCTTGAAGCTCTATTATGCTGATTAAAACTAATATTATTCCTCTAAACAAAATAACTGCTGGTTCAGTAACTAATTTTTATTCAATTCTAACTTAAGCCATGAAGTTAATATTTTCTTCAAAGCATTTTAATCTCTTCCAGATTTATCAATAGGTAAGTCCTGAACAAATTCTTGAATTGAACTAAAAATTGTCTGACATTTTGGCTTAAAAAGTTGACTTTTGCAAACATTGCAACAAGAAAGATGTGAGTTTTTTGCACTTTTTATATATTCCACACAGAAATAAGTCCCAGTCACTATACTTATATCAAAATTGTGTTTGTGTACACAAATTAATTAATCTTGTCGTGGCACCAGAGGAACTACAGTAGGCCCCAAATATTTTGTGAGTGTAGTCCAGGTTCCCTAAAATCTGACACAAGAACATATGAATAGTAACATAGGAGGTATTATGGAGGTATACAATATATTTGTCTTCGATATAATTAAGAAAAAAAAATAATAATATTCGGGCCATCAGCTTGTCTATAGTCCCATTGGTACTGTATATTATAAAATATATAGTAATTACATTCATTCATAAACAATTCTAATTGACATCCCCATTCCCTCATAGTAACCAGCCTGAATTGACTTCCCCAAGCCCTCCTTTCACTAAATTGGATGATCTTGCATTGACCCCAATTAATACCCTTTGACCACATTATCCAGTCATTGTCCTCTTTTGGATAGCCTATATAGTATGATCCTAGTTGCTGGGAGTCCAACAAGGTTCCCAATCATTTAGCCAATCATTTTGTTGGGGAACCCTTTATTGAAAAGCATTTTTAGTCATTTACAGTCTGAGTGAGAGTGCCATTACCTGGCATGCATGGTGGAGCTGAGGTGAGTGTGAACGTCTCATCCAGGATCTTCCTACGGAATCTTGGAACCCTTGTTGGGGAACCTCTGGTGCCACCACTACCCAAATCCTGCGTTAAATCGATCTTGGAAGTCTAGCCATACATACTGTATAAAATGTATTTTAAAGAAATGATATGCTGCATCATCATTTTAAGGTTCATATTACAGGCAAATTTCAGACCTCAATTTTAAGTATTGTAAAGGGGATAAAATGACTGGGCTCTATTAGTATTTTTGTAGATAAATTGAGGTGAATACATTCTGCTCTCTTCCTAGGTTGGTATTTAATTTTAGTAATAAGTTGCTAAAAGCTTGGTGGGTGTAATTAAATTATGTTCCGATATACGTGTATTCATTTTAATACATCACAATTGTTTATTTCATGCAAAATTGCATGTTAATGATTTGAGCCATAATTTATTAGTATCGCAAATGAATTTTAACCATGTGAAAACATACAAATATGGTTTAAAATGTGGTCAGTGGTGATTCTATACGACCAGGGTATTAAGGCATCTGAAGGAGATCTTAAAATTTCCAACAAAAACCAGTGCAGTGTAGGGTAAAACGCCATGCCACTGAGTAACATTAGGCCTTATGAAATGTATTTCAATCAATTATGCAAGATGCCATGTTAATAAATGGTTATTTTATTATTTTTAAATTTTGTCATTTGTTTTTATTTTAACTTTTAGTTGAAAGCACCAGGATTGACCTATCGTCTGATTGAGTAAATGAATGAATAAGAACTGATTGAATGAATGAATGACTGACTGAATAAATAACTTACTGAATTAATGAATGATTTAATTATTGAATAAATGACTGACTGATTTAACAAATGAATGACTGTCTGATTGAATGAATGAATGAATGAATGATTGACAAAATGAATGAATGAATGATTGATTGAATGAATGAATAAATGAATGACTACATTAATGAGTGAGTGAATGATTAAATGACTGACTGAATGAATGAATAAATGACTGACTGATCGTGCGAATGAATGAAAGAATGAATAAACTAATTATTGATTGATTGAATAAAGGATTCAATGACTGAATAAATAAATGAATTAATAAATGACTGATTGAGTGAATGAATAAAGGAATGAATGAATGAATGATTGAATGAATGAATGAGTGAAATAATAAATTAATTAATAATTTAATGAATAAATGAATTCATTAACGTTTTGCTTCTAGGCAAGAACAAAAAAGAAAACAATGTAGAAATTGTGTACAGTATTTGAACACCAACAAATCAGAAAGCTATAGCTATTTAATGGAATTAACGATTGTGTGAAATTGGTTCAAGTTACATCAACTTTCCCTTAATAAGCCTACTTTAAAAACAAAATCTACAGTATTACTTTTTCTCAGTAATATTGATAGCAAATAAATCCTACGTGTACATGAAACAACTTTTCTTGGTGTTAAAATAGATTTTGAATTTTCATGGACGTCTAATAATTATGGTATTTGTAACATAATGAATATAATACTAATTGAGTTCATATAACATACTAGCTATTTCTAGGGTTAAGTTATTATTTCCCTGTATTTTGAAATTATTATATGGTATTTATTTTCTTACTAAGGTTTCCCAGTGGTAATTGCCTTGGTTTCTGTACTAATTGTTGTTCATATCTATATCGATGAGACTAAGTAAGTTATCAATAATTTTTTATCTTCTATGATATGAGTTTGTTGAATTCCAATAGAAATAGTTTATTCCTTTAATTTTAAAGAACTAAGTGTGAACTGTGATGTTTTTTTTGTACGGTATCTATGTTTAATATAAATAGGAACAAGATGCCCTTCAAAGAAAAGTTCAGTCAGTTGTGTGAAAAAGAGTGCCCGAGGGTTAGATCTGCAGGTATACCCTAGGTCTCTGTGGTCTATTATGGGATATGATACTCGACTTTATTGCTAGAGGTTGCAGGTTCGAATCCCGCCAGACACTTTTGTTCGTACAACTGAATAAATTAACTTTACATTGAAGGTCTATGCTGGATACGATTTTAACATCTTGTTCCTATTAGAGCACTGTTATTATTATTTATCTATATCTTTATATTGTGTGTTTACATGGTGATTTTCACAATGGTCTTACATAGTCTGAGCAAAATTCGAACGAATTTAAGATCACATGAAGAAAAGAAAAAACAAATGGATGCAGATGTTGCAAAATGGAGTTTCATGGTTAATCTGGTTTGTTGGCTTCTTCTGCATTGGAGATGCTTCAGAAATTGCTATTTTGTAGTCTAAATTCTTTTTAAGGATTCCCAATATTCCTAAGAAGTGCTCACTCACTGGTAAACACTTTTTTAAAGTACTGTAAATGCTAAACGCTTGCGATCAGTCATGACCGGTGAACAACACACGAACATCAGTTCCAATTTACCTAAAAACCAAGTACTATTAAGGCCTAACCCACACTTATATACTAAACATTTTAGAAATAATATCAGTGATCCTAGTCAAGTTATGCTTTGAAAACGTTCAGTTACATCAGATGACTCACGATAAGGTACTGATGTAGGCTTGATGTTACTTTATACACATACATACATATATACTAGGGAACAGTTAAATTACTTAACTGTTCCCTGATATATCCATACACTTTACATCAACATAAATTATTACTTTTCTTAACAGTTTTGATGCTAGTCTTTTTAACTATGTTATACCTTTGTATGATTGACCATATAGATGTATTTTTAATCATTTTAAAAATGATGTCAAAATGTATAAGCTCACAAATATAAAAAAAATAAACGATAACAAATGTAATTTTATATAAATATACCGTATATAAAAAATTGAGTATTTATTTTTGTTTTGTTGCACATTTTGAACGGTAAAAATGAAAATTTCCTAAAGTAGTTTCTATTTCTGTAATAAGAAGTTGTATGTATTTGTGTCCATTTATTACGAAATTCAACGTACAGTATCGATCCGTAAAGTTTAAAAAGGCAAATGGGAAAAACCCATAAAACAGCAAACGGCCATATAATGCAAAACAATTTAAAATTAAAATTAA